GCCCTCATTCAGGATCAGAAAATGGCCAACAACATACACTGGAAGCCGGACACACAGAGGAGGCAGGACAGGGTGGGTGAGAGAGAAAGAGCAGGAGAATCCAGGCCCAAGGGGAAAGGAGAGGCTTATGGGGCCTCAGTGGAGCACAGGGAGGGCCTTGTGCTCAAACCTGAGCATCTGGGCCTGAAGAAGGGCCTGGACCATGGGAACAAATGAGGAAACTGAGGTTCAGCAAGGTTAAGCTCAAACTCACGCAGCAAGTAACAAGCTGGGATTTGAACCCAGGTCTGTAGGTCCCCAGCCCACTTCTTAACTGCTGTGCTGGGCTGGGACTGGCTGCTTCTCACAGCCCAGCTGTCAGTGGCAGGTTCACAGGGGCCATGTGAGCTGTGAATTCCTCTCTCTCCGCATGTCCAACCCAAACCCAAGACCAGAGCGCTGGGAGCTTGTTCGTGGTGCCACTGGGGTGTTTCCCTGGGGGCTGAAGGCCTCTCCAGCCAGCTAGTGCGGAAGGTTGAATTATGACTGTTTACTGAATGCTTTCTCCATGCACTTGCTTCATACCCATTATCTCATTTAATCCTCAGAACAATCCCCATGACAGGTACCGTTTCCCCAAATTTCAGAAGGGTCAGAGAACTTGACCAGAGTCACACACAGAGGAGGCAGCCTGGCTGGGACTATAAACACTAGTCTGCAGGCTCCAAACCCAATGCACTTTATTCTGGAAAAAGTCAATATCCTAACAACTGCAGAGAAGAAAAATGAACAGAACCAGTCCCTGAACTAACCAACTCTCAATCCACTTCACCTTTGAATTCCTGCAGAGATTATATATTTTCCTTATGATGTAAGCCATGTTGAGCCGGGATAGCAGGAGAGTTTGAGGGGATGATGGAACTAGATCCTTAAGTGGTCTTGGTTACTATACATGTATTAAAATTCATAAAACTAAAAGAAACTATTAAGAATAAATATGGAATAATGTTAAGATTTTATAAACCTGGGTAGTCTATTATTTTTATGTTTGAAATATTTTACAATAATAATAAAAAGACTCCAAAAAAAAGGAGAAAGAAGAGGAAGAGGAGGAAGAGACATCAGAATAAGTCTGTTTCGATGCAATGGCTGGAGCTGCTGCAGCCATCTTGTAACCATGAAAGAAGCCAGTGTGATGGTAAATCTGAGACACTAGGATGGCAGAGCAGAGAGATGGAGAGATAGTAAATGTCTGTTAGCTGCTGAATACACCAGAGCCTCAGACTTGCCCTCTCTCTGGCCTTCTTCTCAGAGATAATAAATGTGTTTATTGTTGAAGTCAATGTGAGTTGGGGATTTCTGTTACTTGGGTTGAAGACATGACACTCATATAAAGTGAAGAGTCAGATCTGAAGCAGTGGGGCAACTCCATGGTCAGTGGAAGTGTTTTCAGTAGAAGTGAGGTGTCCACTGGTGGAAGTGGGCAATTCCTTTCCCCAGTGGGTGTTGGGGGTCAGGTTCTTATGTATCTTGTGAAAAAGAATGTTCTAAGACTCATTTGGAGGATAAGTGATTTTTATTCGCATGAAATTACATCTCTGCATTTCTAAAGTCCAATTTCCCTTAAACCAGTCCTGGAAAATGTGCAGCTGGGGATTCAGCAGAGCTAGAAGCAATGCCAGTGTCCAGAGTTTTCATTCCATGGTGGAGCTGGGTCCAGTCCAGTACCAGGCTAGTTCCAGTCCATCAGTCTATTGTGTGTGGGGTCCACATGGCCATGAATCATGTGGGCGACTGCAGGAGCATGAGAGCCTTGCAAGCCAGGAGTCAGGTGCAAAGAAGAGAGGGAACCCCTTCGTTTAGGAGTTTAGGTATCCCAAATTTTATGCCCTTGCAGTGGCCATGCTGTCCTTGTTCCCAGGTGTAACCTTCCTACAGCACCCCGACTTTACCCGGCATGCATCTAAACTGCAGCTCCTTTTCTCTTAATTAATAACCACGTTATTTACAACGGTGTCAGTAGTACTGAAGGAGGCTGGAGGGTCACTGATGGATGCATCTGGATTTGGCTGGGCATGAGTCATCAGAGAGAAGCCAGTGGGGGGTGACTTGCTCAGAAACTTCCCAGATGGTTTTAAGATTCGGATTTTGTAGCAATGTAAGTCATAGTCATGTGAATTTCAACTTAATGCTCCTTTCCTGCCACCCTCACAGATGTAATATCTGCCTGGGCCCAGGGGACTCAGGAAATTTGTGCGGTTAGAGCTGCTGGTGTTCAAAACTGTGTAAGGTCAGTTTTGAAAAATCTGATTTTATGACAGGTCATTGATCTATGTGTTCTGGTTGTTCCTTAGCAATATCTTTCTTGTACAGGTACAGACATCTGACTCTGGAGGCCCAGGAAGGCAGAGCTGGGGTGATGACCCAGGTGGGGGAAGAAGTCTTCTCTTCATCAAAGGCAGTTTGACCTTGATGGGGTCATAGTCACTGTGCCTCAGTTCCCTCATCTCCAAAATGGGACAAACGTATCCCTCCCTTTTGGGTTGTTTTTGGGCTTGGAGATCATGTATGTGAAGCTTCTGGGCCCTGGCCGGTTTGGCTCAGCAGTTAGAGCATCGGCCCACGGACCGGAGAGTCCCGGGTTCAGTTCCCACTAAGGGCATGTGCCTCAGTTGCAGTTTGTCCCTGGCACTGGTTGGGGTCGAGTGGGTGGCAACCACTCGATGCGTCCTCTCTCACATCCATGTTTCTCTCTCTCTTTTCCTCCCTCTCTCCCTCCCACTCTATATGAAGATAAATGCAAAAATAAAATAAAATAAAATAAAGCGTCTGGCACAAAGTAGACGCTGTGCATAGCCACAGTTTTCATTCTGAAACCAGCCAGAAGGATACTACTTGTGGATGGGGGCACGAAGGGCACCCCGTTCAGAACCAGGGAAAGAGAAGGGAAAACAACAGCTTTGGAGGCCTCAGATCCTCCTGGCTCAGCGGGCTTCATTAGACTTTCATAAAGTCAAAGTCCGGGAGACAGGACTCCAGGGGGCTGATGAGGACCCAGCAGGACAGAAGCTGGCCTCCCCTAGGAAGACCCACCCTCTTCTCTCATCACCATGGAGACCCAAATGGCTGCCCTGCAGGGTTCCTGCCCACCCAGGACTGGAAGCTGCTACAAAGGGAGGGACCGGAGCCGAGCAGACAGAGACTTGTCTGGAAAGCTGGGGGTGGGGGGGAGAGTGTCTACGCCCCACCCCCACCCCAAGGCACAGAAGGACTCGGTCTGGTGTGGGATGTGCCTGGTGGGTCTGGCGGTCAGGATTCCAGCTCAGCTAGCAGCTAGCTTCACGACTGGGAAAAACACTTCCTCTCTCAAAGCCTCAGTTCTCACATCTGTCAAAGGAAGGGGTAAAAAAAACTTGATGAAGAAAACTGTGGGATGACGAAGCAGTAAAATAGGATGCGTGTAACAGAATATTTAGTGCTCAGGGAGAATGTTCATTACACACTGTTTATTGAAAAAAAGGAACGTGACAAAACTGACCAGTATGATCCCATTTCTCTCGGTTAGAAAAAAACAGACTTATTTATGCTTACCAAAACGAGGAGCGGGGGAGGCGGAGGAACTCCAAAAGACGCTTCTGCTTGTTGTCTCTAGAACCGGGATAGCATGACATTTTTATCTTCTTGGTTCTTTCTCAAATTTTGGCCAGAATATGAATTACTCTTAAAGTCAGTGGCATTAATAGCTACAATTTGCGTGCCTACTATGCAGGGGCATTGGGCTAAGAAGTGCTTGACCTGGTTTAAAACCCTTTCTGTCTTCACAATCATCAGGGAGGGAAAGTACTCTGATTATCCCCACTTTACAGAAGAGGAAATTGAGGTTCAGAGAGGTTAAGAGCCTTGGCCAAGGTTAAACCACCCAAGTGGCAGAGCTAAGATTTAAAATCACAGCTAAGCCCTGGCCAGTTTGGCTCAGCGATTGGCCTGTGGATCAAAAGAGTCCCGGGTTCGGTTTCTGCTAGGGGCACGTACCAAAAAAAAAAAAAAAAAAAAAAAAATCACAGCTAAGATACTGGACTCCAAACATTTAACTATTACCACTACTGCCTCTCAGAACAAGAACACACTAAAGGTTCTGTTTTCTTAAATGTTTTACTATGGAAAATATCAAGGAAATCAAAAGTAGAAAGAAAAATATAACAGTCATAAAGTGAGTTAAGTTCTGGGGATGTAATGTACAGCATGGTGACTGTAGTTAAGAATATTATGTTGCCCTGCTGGTTTGGCTCAGCAGTTAGAGCCCTGGTACCTAGACTAAAGGGTCATGGGTTTGATTCCAGTCAAAGGTACATAACTTTGGTTGCCATTGGATCCCAGGCCCTGGTATCTCTCTTATATCAATGTTTCTCTCTCCCTTTCTCCCTTCCTCCCTCCCTCCCACTCTATCTGAAAATAAATGGAAAACTACCCTCGGATGAGGATAAAAAAAAGAATATTATATTGTATACTTGGAATTTGCTAAGAGAGTAGATTCTGAGCATTCTAACCACACACAAAAGAATTATAACTATGTGAGATGCTGGATGTGTTAGTTTGGTTATGGCAATCATTTCACAGTGTATACATATATCAAACCATTACATTGTATATACACTTTAAATGTATATAATTTTATTATGTTTGTCAACTGTATCTCAATAGGGCAGGAAAAAAGAAAAATAAAAATATAATGAACTCTAATGTACCCATCACCAGCTTCCAGGAAGTCCTTAAATAAGGGCCTTGGGTGGGGGCTCAGAAAGGGGGATGGGGTGCCTTAAGAAGAAAATGATGCCCAGAGCCAGAGGTTCCCAACTTACCCCCACGCACACCTGCCAGAGTCCACTCTGGCTGCCTCTGGGTTTGTGGCCCCAACCTCGATGGGGAACCACAGGCGGTTGCCCTCCCCCTCTCCCGCCCCCACCCCAGTTCCTTCCTCCTTTCTACAGTCTAGTGTAACTTGCACTTCCCCAGCCCTTCTCCTTTATAGGTCCCTGGTTCCCTGCCAAGGCCTCAAGGCTTTGCCAGCTCTGGAGGACAAAGACATGGCCAGGGACCCCGACAACACACTGAGGTGGGCCACCCTGATGGTGCTGGCCGCCCTGGGCACAGCTGTGACAGAGGCCACCAACCCTGGCATCGTGGTCAGGATCACCCAGAAGGGCCTGGACTACGGTAGGCCTTCCTTCCCTCCCCCGAGGAGCATTAATTGGGCACCTGCTGTGTGTGGCCCTTTAACTCCAATGCATGGCATGCTCCTAGCTCACCCTGTCTTTCATATAAAAACTGAGGCGAGGCGAGTTGCCCTAGATTTCGGGCTGGGAAGTGGCAGAACTGGGACCAGAGTGCTGGGCCTGGAGGACTCCAAGTCCAGTACCCGGGCCCCTGAGCGTCCTCATGGTCCCCTTCCTCCCTCTACCCAAACTTCAGCTCCGGCTTCTAGGCCCTTTACTGTTCCTCCTCGCGTGTTCTCAGCCCCGTTGTTTGCCTCCAGACCACTGGCTCAGTTTTCAGCGTGGGCAGAGCTCAGGCCGTGAGGAGGCTGCAGGGGGGCGGGGGGCACGGGGAGCATAGGCAGGGCCCTTCTTTTTTTTTTTTTTTTAATATTTTTTAAAATTATTATTATATCCTCTCTTGAGGACATTTTTCCATTTTTTTATTCAGACAGAGTGGGAGGGGAAGAGAGGAAGAGAAAGAGAGAGAGAGAGAGAAACATCTGACACGAAAGGGACACATCTCTGCCTCCCGCATGACCCAACCAGGGCCGGGGACAAACTGCAACCCAGGTACGCGCCCTCAGCGGGAACCGAACCCGGGGCTCTCGGGATCGCAGGCCGCCGCTCTAACCGCTGAGCCAAACCGGCCAGGGCGGCAGGGCCCTTCTTGATGGTTCCCCCGGGGCAGCGGTTTGACGGACATGCTGTGCACACTGCCTATCTTGGTGACCCCGAGAGGGTCCCCCAGCCCCAGCTGGAGGAGTGTGAGTCAGGAAGCAGCTCCTGCTGACCCACTCAGATCTGTGCTAGGAGCTTTACACACCCGACCTCGTTTCATCTTCACGTCATCCCTGGGTGGGACACACTGTTACTTGCAGCATTTACAGATGAGCAAACTGAGACGTGGAGAAGGTACTGGGTAAGCCAGAGAACCGCCCGGATTTGAGTTCCGGTCTCCTCGGATGTCCCCGAATGGGGCTGCTCGATGCTGCTTCCCAGTGGCAGAGCAATGAACTGCAGGAGAGTGGAAAAATCTGACCAAGGAGGCAGAACCTCAGCCCTCCATGTACCACGCTGCATCAGGACAGGCCTCAGTTTATCATCCTTGAATTCCTACCCCAACCCAGGCAGAGCACCTCTGAATCCCAAGGGGAAAGGAGTATGGCCCTTCTCTGAACAGTGCTGGGGTGGTTCTGGAGGCTTGCCAGGAGCAGAGGCTTCGGCTCAGCCTTTAAATCCAGAATTCTGTCACGACTGCCTCAGTTTCCCCTTCTACTCACACCGCATATGGCAACCACAGTGGGTTTTCTCCAATGCAGCAAATCTGCCTGTGTCCCTCTCCTTACTTACACCATTCAGTATCGCTTCCTAACTGGCTCTTGGAAAACACAAAGTTTGCGATCCCTCATTTTACAAATTACTCCTTCTCAGGTAAGTTAGTTTGCCTTTTCATTGGTTCTTTGACCAAGCAACAGGATTGGCACATGCAAAGGTCCTGTGGAGACATAATCCAAGAGCCAGAGAGATGGGGTATCTGTGAGGGCATAGCAAAGAGACAGGCACAGAGTAGGTATGCAGTAAATATGCACAGGATGCATGACTGGTTGTTTAGGGGTGCTGTTTTAGACCAGGGGTTGGCAAACTACAACCTGCAGGCCAAATCCGGGCTACCGCATGTTTTTGTATGGCCCAAGAACTAAAAATGGCTTTTACATTTTTAAATGGTTGAAAAAAGCCAGAAGAAAAATAATATCTCACAACATGTGAAAATTATACAAAATAGAAATTCCAGTGTTCATAAAGTTTTATTGGAACACACCCATCCTTTTACATATTGTCTATGGCTGCTTTGGGGCAATAACAGCAGAGCTGAGTGGTTGGGACAGAGACAGTATAACCCACAGAGCAAAAAATACTTACTATCTGCTACTTTACAGAAAACCGTAGCTTTAGACCTTTCCAATCCCACTGTCCTTGCGATGAACAGGGGCGAGGGCCGCCAACCTGGGCTCCCGGCTTGTGCCGGTGACCATTATCCCTGCTCTCTCCCCTCAGCCTGCCAGCAGGGAGTGGCCGTGCTGCAGAAGGAGCTGGAGAAGATCACGATTCCCTCTTTCTCAGGAAGCTTTAAGATCAAGTATTTGGGGAAAGGTGACTATAGCTTCTACAGGTGAGGCCTGTCATGTTCTGGGGCCACCAAAGCCTAGAATCACAGAGCCACAAACTCCTAAACTCAGAGGTTAAGATCCCAAGGCTAGTGTTTACTCCAGTCCAAGGAGACACAATCCCCCATACTTCCACCACGAAAACTCTTTCAGGCACTCACCATGACTCTCTGGGGGGTCGGGTCGTGAGCCCCAAAACCCCGTGCTAGGCCAGTATATCAATTAGGATTTGGGGGAGGGGATTCAAGGACAGTAAACCTAATTCAAAAGGACCTAAGCAGAAATTACTGGCTCACATGTCTGAGATGTCCCTGGAGCAGTCTAGTTTCAGGTTCAACTGGAGGCAGGCTCAAATATCACCAGATTTTCTTTCTATCTTGCCACCTCTCAGTATCACTTCCTTGGGGAAGTCTAATTCTCAGATGGGGTGTCTCCTCCAAGACATAAGATGGCCACCAGCATCTCCTCAGCACTGCAAGTCCTGTAGAAGGAGAGCACCTTCTTGCAACTCAAGCAAAACCCCTAAGATTCACTCTGATTGGTTCATCTTAGGTTATGTAGACTCCTGAACCAATCACTGTGGTCTGGGAAGTAGAATATGCTAATTAGCTTATACCCAAATCCAACCCCCCTGATGATGAGGGCAGAGTCAACTTTCTTTGGAGCAACATAGAAAAGTTCAATGACAGTTCTGTTAACGCAATAAGGGGGTATGGGTGCTGGGGAGAAAAACCATAAATGTTCTGTAGAGAATTTTATACACCTATTCACTCAACAAATATTTTTGTGCATCTATGTGTCTGACACAGCAGGCTTTGCTACAACAGTGAAAAAAGACAGACACATTTCACCCCTTTACAGAACTTGTAGTCAATGGGATAATATTGCTATCTTTATTGATCATCACACACCCTGTAAGATAGAATTTATTGTGCCCATTTTACAAATGAGGAAACTGAGGCTCAGGAAGATTAAGTGACCTGCATGGGGTTACACAATAGTTCATTTAAGAGCAGAATTCAAAGGCAGATTTGTCTGACTTCAAAGCCTAGCTACTGTCCAACACCCAGGGTTCCCAAGGCTTCTGGGTGGTCTTGGAATGAACGAGGTGCAGGGCCTGGGGGGTAAGAATGAGTCTACATTACCAATTGGCTGAGTCCTTATGTGGGCCCCCAAAAGGCTAATTGAACATTTCTTCTTTTTAGCTTGGTTATCCGTGAAGTTCAGCTTCCCAGTTCCCAGATAAGACTGTTGCCCAATGAGGGCCTTGCTTTCTCCGTGACAAATGCCAATGTCAAGATCAGCGGAAAATGGAAGGCACGCAAGAATTTCATGTGTGTTTCCAAGCCTGGGGTTTTTGATTCTGTGGGTGAGCTCTTGTGATACTTGGAAGGAATGAGAACCAGGGTCTCAGGAATGCCCAGTTTTTGCCTTGCCCATCACAACTTGTCCCCACAGGGTTCCTGGGGGAATTTTTCACAGAAGAAGATTCAATATAACCCTTGGTTAATAGCTGAGCACTTGACCTCGTCTCAATGTAGGATATTGGCAAGGCTGAGTTAGTGCATATAGCTCAGAATGAAAAGCTAAGTGGGACCTTTAATTTGCCCCTTTATCAGTTAGCTACAGCTGTGTAACAAACATTCCAACTCAGTGGCTTAACACAAGTCATCTATTATCACTTGCACATCTATGTGTTGTTGGCTGGGGTTCCCCCATCTAGGTTGCACTTAGCTGAGGTGGCTCCTCTCCACCTGTATCTTCCTCCTCTGGACCAGTGGGCTACCCAGACCATGTTCTTGGTAATGGCAGGGGTGCAAAAACCGCAATAGGAAACATGCAGGTCCCCTTAAAGTCTAGACTCAGAACTGGCCCATGGTCACCCCTACTTATATGCCATTGGCCAAAGAAAGTCACATGGCCATAATCAAAGTCATGAGCATTAAAATGCACACACCCCCAACACAGGTAATGGTGAGGGTATGGATGCAGGGAGGGGTGGAAAATTAGGGCAAATCATCCAAACTATAACTCTGAATCTGAATACAGGGCTCTCACCACAGTGACCCTGTCCACTAGTGATAATGGCGCGACTGACCCATCACTTTAGCAACTTTTCTCCTTTGTGAGGAATCCAGGGAGAAAACAGGACAAGGCAGTTTGGTGGGGAGAAGGGTATGGATCCGCTTTCCCTCACGGGCCACTGGGTTCGTTCCCTACAACAAGAATTGCTTAGGTCTTCCCTTGAGCTCTTTTGTATCTACCATTTCACTTACTGATCTCACACACACACAACTTATCAATCCTTTATTACATTAGAGGAGTTGACAAACTACATTCATGTCCACTGTCATATCCAAAACTCATTTCATCCCCTAGGGAGGAGTGATGAACCCCACCAATAAACAAGGGCATTCGTTAATTAAAGTTATTGACCCCAAACAACCAGTTTTTTAGCGGTAAAGCTGGGGGCCCACTGCTGATGCAGGGTCTGGATGTGGAAACTGATCTCAGAGAGGTGAAGAAACACTCCCCAAGCCACACAGCATGGGTGGAGACTGAGGCAGTGGGTGAGAGCAGGGTTCTGCCAGGCAGGCATGGATTGAAACTTCAGGGTGGACTCCTGGATCTTTTACTCAGCTGCTGTGTGACCTTGGGCAAGCTGCCTCCCTCTCTGAACTCCATCTTCTAGCTGGAGTGAGGATAATAGCTAAACCTACCTTCTAACATTGGCGTGCAGTTCAAACGGCAGAGGGGCGGAAGGTACTTGCTCTAAGTCTTTTCTCTTTCTCTCTCTTCAGCAAAACCAGCGGCAACTTTGACCTGAGCGTGGAGGGCATCTCCATTTCGGCTGGGCTGAAGCTGAGCTGTGACCCCGCCTCAGGACACTCCACCGTCACCTGCTCCAGCTGCAGGAACCACATTGACAGTGTCCACTTGCACGTCTCAGGCAGCCAACTGGGGTATGACCTCCTGGGGCTGTGGACAGAGGAGGGGCATCAAGAACGATCTTAATCATCCCTGTATTTAGAAAACAGGTCCTGAGTGCCACTTCCCTGCCAGGCCTTGTTTAGAGGCCTCAGGTGTAGGGAGAGGGAACAGAAGTCCACCACCCCTCCTTCGAGGGGTCACTTGTTCATTCATCATGCATTCAGCAGACACTTTACTGAGCTCCCACTGTTGCCCCAAGCTCTGGGCTGAACACTGGATGTACCCTAAACTGTACAGTCCTCACCACAAAGCCGCGGCATTTAGCCAGCCAGCCAGTCAACAAACATCTACTAAGATTCAAATGCTCGGGAAACCGTTAGTGGCCAATACTGATTTAGCAATAGTTAACAACACGTGGAGGCTTCCCGCGTGCCCTGCGTGTTTTAACCGTGTGCATCACCTCATTCATCCACACAGTGACACCGAGGTCAGTCTGGGGAGCCTGCCCAGGCTTGGAAAGGACAGGAAATAACCTGAGTTTTCATACCTGCTGATTATTAAGAAGGGATTCAGCCCAAGACTACCTGGCTCCAGGCCCTTAGCCACACAGTCCCTCTTCTCTTGAAGCCTCCAGCCCAGTGGGGAAGAGACACATTAACCACATCATTGCATTACTGAGTGGCCCACGGAGAACTTCAAACGGACATGAGAACTAAAGAAAAGAGGCGCAGAGTGGGGCAAACATGGAACAGGAGGATCTGACCTGGTCTGGGGGTTGGCCAGACCTTCCTGGATGAAATGACATTTGAGTTGAGATGGAAAGAATAAGTAGGAGTTAATGAGGTCATTGTTGGGGACAGGGGGTGTTTTAAGCGGAGGGAACAGCATGTGCAAAGGCCCTGGAGTGGGAAGAAGCACAGGACACGAGAGGTTATGGCAGAGCAGAGTGGCTGGAGCGCAGAGAGGAAGGGGAGTGGCAAGGAATGAGGCTGAGACAGGGCAGGGGCCCAACCATGGCCCTATTAAAAAAATAACCTCATAAGCGGGTCACTGCGCACAGGGGGAGAGGTGTCTGATGGGCTGTGTGCATCCCAGAGACAAGGCTGCCTATTTGCAGAAGGGAGGAAGGCTTCCCGGATGAGGCAGCCTTTCCAGGGCAGCCCAGGGACACGTGGGAAGCCTCATGCATGTCCCCACATGTCAATCTCCAGGTGGCTGATCCAACTCTTCCACAACAAAATCGAGTCTTCACTCCAAAACGCCATGAACAACAAGGTAGGAGGGGCTCAGGTTCTCCTCACGGGCCAGAGCGGGAGGGGCCGCCCCTCCATGTCCACATACTTTATGCATCACTGGACACGCTGCCCTCATCCAGACCCCCGCAGCAGTCCTTCCAGCCCTTTGAAACCACAACTCCAGCTCTAAAAATCAGGCACGTCTATTTTCCTGAGGAGTCCAGTGAGAGACTAAGAAAGGGTCATATTTCACGTTCACGGCATACCACCATGTCGGCTTGGATCACCTCTGTTTTCCCCCCAACTCTGGTCCCTGCAGAGAAACTGCCATCCTCTCTCCACCAACCCATCCTCTCTCCACCAACCCTCTCTTCTCTTAGCCCTCTGGCCTCCTTCCTCATCCCCGCCCACCCCCAGCCCCCTTCACGGTGCTCCCCCCCCCCCCCCCGAAAATGTGCAGGTGTTGATGTGGCCAAGCTATTTCCTGAGGTTGGAACTGGTATGAATGACAGGCACTGGCAAGTCCTCCAACCCTGCCTTCACCCTTACTCCCCTGCCCCTAGCCAACTTCTTCAGTAGAGAAAATAGCCCATTCATTAATAAACCACCAGCTTCTAGGAATCCCCTGAGCCTGTCAACAAGCCAAGTGAGCTTGGGCTTTCTCCACAGGGCACTGGGGAGCCACTGAAGGTTACAGGCAAGGGGTGATCTCGCCAGATCTGTACTTTAGAACAGTCTCCCTGACTGCTGTGGGAATGGCTGGCGAGGCCAGGAGTGGGGGCAGCAGTTTTGGGGAGACTGAGGAGGCTGTGCAGTCTTCCAGATAGGAGACGTATGTTTCCCAGTCAAAGGCACTGGCAATGTGGGTAGGGAGAAATCAACCAAGTGAGATCATTTATCTGAAGGCTCTGTCAGAAGTTTTGTTTTTGTTTTTTAAATCAATGCATGGTTGTCAAAACGTATAACACAGTGGATTATACGATGTCTTTTAGAGTTAGACTTTCTGAATTTTAGTTCTGGTTCTAGGGCTTCATGGACTAAGTGTATAAACTTGAGAAAATTAGTTGACCTTTCTGAACCCTTTTCACCATCTGTGAAATGGGGACCCTAATACCTTCCTCTGCAAGCTGTTGTAAGGGTTACTGACATGATGCAGGCAGTGTGCTTACCCACCAGCCTGGCAGATCCATGCTGTCTTTGTTGTTAAGTAATAGGATGAGGGGAGTGTTAGCATATATTTAACATTTGTAACTATTACGACAGATTATTTCTTGCCGATACCTTAAGAGTGGCCCTTTGATAGCAGCCAAGCTAAAATGCAATATTACTGCTGCTGATGGTGAAGATAATTGATAGTGGTGGAGATGATAGTAAAGGTAGTGGTGGTGAAGATGGTGATGGTGAAGGTGGTGGGGGTGAAGGTGGTAGTGGTGAAGATGATGGTGGTGAAGATGATGGTGGTGAAGATGATGGTGATGAAGATGATAGTAGTGAAGATGATGATGGTGAAGGTGGTGGTAGTGAAGGTGGTGGTGGTGAAGATGATGGTGGTGAAGATGATAGTAGTGAAGATGATGATGGTGAAGGTGGTGGTAGTGAAGGTGGTGGTGGTGAAGATGATGGTGGTGAAGATGGTGGTGGTGAAGATGATAGTAGTGAAGATGATGATGATGAAGGTGGTGGTAGCGAAGGTGGTGGTGGTGAAGATGATGGTGGTGAAGATGATAGTGGTGAAGGTGATGATGGTGAAGGTGATGGTGGTGAAGGTGGTGGTGGTGAAGGTGGTGGTGGTGAAGATGATGGTGGTGAAGATGATGGTAGTGAAGATGATGGTAGTGAAGGTGATGGTGGTGAAGGTGGTGGTGGTGAAGGTGGTGATGGTGAAGGTGGTGATGGTGAAGGTTATAGTGGTGATGGTGGTGGTGATGAAGGTGGTGGTGGTGAAGGTGGTGGTGGTGAAGGTGGTGGTGGTGATGGTGATGGTGAAGATGATGGTGGTGCTGGTGAGGAGAATGGCCTACATAGGCAGAGTGCTTACAATGGGCTTGGAATGATGCTAAGAACTCCTTACAAGAATTCTAGTACTTAATCCACATAAAATCCTTATGAGGGGTGTATGTCATGATTATTCCCATTTTAGAGATAAGTAAACTGAGACACACAGAGAAGAAATGCTGGTGCTGAAATGCAAACCCAAGCCATCCCACCTCAGAGGCAAAGCTCTTAATCATAATAAGATATTATTTAGAAGAGAGTACTGGTCTGAATGAATGAATAGATGGATAGATGAAAGATTAAATGAGGTAAAGGGTGTCCATGATGCTAGGAAGGACTGGAAATGGGGAAGAGTTAGCTGGGGATTGGATTCCCAGGGAATCCAGAGTGAGGGGTGGTGTGAGAGAGAAGAAGAGTTCATGTCAGGTGTGTGTGTGGTGGGGGTGGGGTGGAGGTGGGATGGGGCCCGGGAAGAGGCAGCCGCAGGAAGCCAGGCTCCAGGCTGTGATGTGATTTGCAGTGGTTTGGAGCCATCTGGAGGCACATGGGTGAGTGGCACTGGAAACTAGTGGCTGATGGGCAAGCAGCCCAGGTGTCCAGCTGGCTCCAGTTACCAGATGTGCTGTCCTTTCCACCCCTGGGCCACTTGGAGGAGAAGCACAGGTTACTCAGAGAATGACATTCTAAGTCCTCTTAGGAAATGTAGAATCTTAGATGATAGAAACACTTCAGGAAACCACATTTTCTCCCTCCTTTATTCCTTTCCTTCCCCTCCCTTTCCTCTCCCTTCCTCCCTCAGATGAAATAAGTTGATAGACTAAGGGGAAGAAGGGAAGTGTGGAGGGTGTCCTCTGGGCAGACGGAGACGGCCTGCGGAGGGGTAAGAACCTGAGGGGTTTGGTTGAGGCGAGTTGGCCTTGGGGGCCTGGGGCCAGGAGGCAGCTGCGCCCTCAGGCTGGAGCTCAGGGGAGCCTGGGCTGCTCACCAAGGTCCGGGTACCGGCCACATGTTGGGATCTTGGAGGAGGTGAATTAACTTGGGTCCCCTGCTCAGGCAGGAGCGGAGGCAAAGATTCGGGTTTATTGGGAGGGGATCCCAGGGGGTAGACGGGAGCTGGGACATTCTGAGTGGGTGTATGCTGGGGACACTGGGGCTCAGTCCTGTGGGCAGTTCTCAGAGGAACCGTGGGGCACACACCTCAGAACTGTCCAAAGGGGAGCAGACTAGGGTATTTATCCACCAGCCCTCGGCCCTCTTTGGTTGGGGCTGTTTCTGGCACTGTAACTCCTTGGCACTTGGGAGCAAGGCCCAGAAGAGAAAGTGCTCAGGCTCGGAGGGTCACGGGTGTGTGGGAGCTGCTCACACCAGGGGCAGGCGACCTCTGGGTGGACCATAGCAGGGGCCATGGGTATGCATGGCCAGGCTCCGAGAGAGCATGCGAGTGGAAGGAGGGGACTCCGAAAGAAGTCCCAGGGAGCTCCAGTATTTAAGAGGGAAGAGGAGCTCACAAGGGTGTCCGGGGAACAGTGAGGAAGGGACAGGTTGAGAGCGGGAGAGTCCTAGGTCCTGGGACTCTAGAAGGAGCATTTCCAGCGACAGTGGTCCACCTACCAGAGGCTGCCCAACAGTCAAGACAGGCAAGGACTGGAGAGACTCAGTTGGACCAATGAGGTGGAAGTCACTAGAGTCTTGGGGCAAGTCCCTATGGTGAAGGTGGGAACTTATCTGACCACCCCACCCCCAGTCCCAATGTCTTCAAGTTAGGGAAGCCTGCTATTTTAATCCTGTTTCCCAGCTATATATGGCTTCAAAACAAATAGCTCCAAAGATGGGGTCATAAAGCAACTACCACTTTGTAATGCTCACGGGTCAGGAAATCAACAGGCTGGGTGGGGCGGCTTAGCTTGTCTCTCCTCCATGCTGGCTGGGTCTCCTCTGGGAGGACGCGAAGCTCAGGCCTTGGTCCTGGGCTGGGAAGACTGGAAGGCTCGGCTCAGCTAGGACTGTTGGTCTGAGCAACAACCCGTGGCCTCTCCATGGAGCTAGACAGCTTGTCACTGGGTTCCCAGAGGAAGCGACCAGAGGGGTAGCATTTCAAGAGACCAAAGTGGGAGCTGCACAGCCTTTTATGACCTGGTTTCTGAAGTTACACAGTGTGACTTCTGCTACCATGCCCACCCAGGTTCTAGGGGAAAGTTCACAGACTCTACCTCTTGATGGGGGTGTGGCAAAGCCACCTTCCAGAAGAGCAAGTGGAATGGAAAATATAACCTGCCATGTCCCATTTTACAGATGGAAAAGTAGAGGTCTAGAGAAATGGAGTTACTTCCTCAGTGGCGAAATTAGCATAGAATCCAGGACTTCTCAGATTGTGCTTGTTTCCTTGTGAGTCATGTGAGGGGCAGGGAGGTCAGGAAGGGTTTTTCTGGCCACACTCAGCAAAGGTGAGGGTGCCCACCCAGGCTTGAGCAGAGGGCCTGACCCCTGCTCCAAGAAACACAGAAAGGAGAAGGTTGATCACTGACCAGCTCTTATTTTTCACTTCATTCCACAAAGGATCTGAGACAGCAAAAACAAATGGATAAACACACAAAAAAATATCTCACATTAAAAAATTAAAAATGTAAATACCCACTAGGAAAGTTCCACACTCAAATAGGAAATAAAATGCAATATGGAGGTCATCCAGTCATATACAATTTCTATTTTCAAGCTACTCTGAGCTTCCTGGTGGCCAAAGAGAAAAGGGAAACTCGACTAGTTACATGACTGTCAAGGAAACATTCCAGGAAAGTAAGACATGCCCAGATCATTATTCCCAAGGAACATTTTACACTATGGAAGGTCTCCACTGATCACTTCCTTTGTTCTTCCCAGATCTGCGAGGTGGTGACCAGCTCTGTGTCCTCCAAGCTGGAACCTTTCTTCCAGACACTGCCAGGTGAGTGCTAGATGGGGTCGAGGAGACTGGGATAGAACGGAAGGGGTAGGGAGACGGGGAGAATGTGATGGAGCCAGCAAGGTTTCCCGACAGGCCTGGGCCTGGGTGTGAATGGGTAGAATGGATCCTTTTCAAATGGAAGTTGGCATCGGATCCCTACTGGTCCAGGTCCATGTGGCAGGCTCAGAAATGAGGTGGCAAAGCAGCCCACACCCACTCATTCTCCTACCCCTGCAGGGACCAAACAACCAAATACCCACAGCTCCCTGAGGCCAGACACACATAACTGGCCTGAGATCTGAGGCTGATATTTTGCTTCTCTGGGCCTGTTTCTGTATCTTTAAAATGGAGACAATTCTCTCTGTCCCCCAGAGCCACAGGGGGTGGGGGAGAACACCCCTGGCCCAGTGCTCACCATGCGCCTCGCACACAGTAGAATTGTCTCTTCTTGTCCTCCCAATGCCCCAATGACTTTGTATATTCTCCCATTTTTTTCATGAGGAACCTGAGACTCAGAAAGGAGCCATGACTTGCCCAAGGTCATAAACCCAGTAAGAAGCAGAAGTAGGGTCCAAATACAGGGTTTTTTATGCCAGAGCCCGTGCCCCAAACTGCTCCCTGGACTCCCTCCCTGGGAAGCCTGGCGTGGCGAACACATGGTTTAGCCTACTGAAGCATCACCCTCCCAGGCACCACCCAGCCCCTCCAGGGCAGAGCCCATCCCGGGGATGTTCAGTGCAGTGGCAGTGGCCCAGGTTTGGCCCCAGGCAGGAAAAATATGTTGGTTTGAGTCCCAGCTCAGCCACTCATCAGCTGCACCATCTTGGACAAGCTGCCATTTCTGAGCCTCTAACATGGGAAGGAAGGGCTAAAGGAAGGACAGGTTTTTATTTAATTTTCATTGATTACTGCTGGGAAACAGAGAAACCATTCAGATCTGAGCCAGCCTGGGGTATTGTCACCACTAATATCGATGCCTTCTGGCTTCTGAGCTCCACCATGTAGCTTCGGGCATACACCTTTTCATTCAGTCCGCCTGCACCGCGAGCCACCGCCATCACCCCATCCTACAAGTGACAAAAAGTGACTCAGAGAAGCAATAGGTCATGGCCAAGGTCATATAGACTTTGATCCAAGCCCTGGTCTCTCTGCTCCCTGACTCTGTGTTTTAGCTTCATCTAGGGGCTGTTGGAAGAAGAGGGTAAGATGATGGCTATGAATGTGGGGTGTGGGTTCATTTTCCTTTGAAGGGAGCTCAGAGTGGGCTCCCTGGAGGAGGTGGAAATGGAACTAGCACTGCAGTTCTTTTTTTTTTTTTTTTTGTACGTGCCCCTAGTGGGAACCGAACTCGGGACTCTCTGGTCCTCAGGCCGATGCTCCAACCGCTGAGCCAAACTGGCCAGGGCAGAACTGCAGTTCTTAATTCAACTTTAGGGAGCACTGACCCTATTTCAAAGGCCCCAAAGGTGCTGCCATGAGCCAGCTCATGGTCCATCTCCTTTCCCTCTAGTGACAGCCAGTATAGATAATGTGGCCGGGATTGATTACTCCCTGTTGGCACCTCCGATAGCCACCACTGAGACCCTGGATGGGCAGCTGAAGGTGAGACTTACACTGAGAATCATGTACCCTCACTCCCGGGGCTCCCCATCATCCTTGGAAATAAATCATACAAAGACTCCACCCCCTTCCTCTCTGTCCTCAGCCACCCTGCATCCAAATCTCCTCGCTCCAGTCCCACCCCCCTCCCTGTCATTCCTGAAGCACACTCTGCCGGCTTTACCCCAGGGCCTTTGCACTTGCCGCTCCTTCTGCCCAGGGGGCTGTTGCCCAGATATCCACATCAGCTCTCCCTTCCTTCCTTCAAGTCTTTACTCAAATATCCTCTCTCCCTGGAGACCCTTCTCAGACTGCTGTCACTGAAATGGCTCCCTCTCTTGCCCCATATATTGCTTTTTTTTTTCCCAGCAGAAATTTATTACTAATGTGCATGTATAAACACACACACACAACACACACACACACACACACACACACACACAGACACTCACTTGGACGAAAGAGAAGGGGCTGTGACTGCTTTGTTCTTTATTGTATGTGCAGCACCTAGAACTGTGCTTGGCATACAGTAGGTGTTCAATAAATATTTATCAGATGGATGAATGAAATTTTATTTCAAGCCACTTCCTCCTCACTCACCACCCTCCAAACACACACACTGGCCTTGTGCCTCCTCAACACATCAGGTCTGTTCCCTCCCCAGGGACTTGGTTCCATCTGGTCCCTCTGCCTGAGCTCCCCTCCCTCCCAAGCCCTCCTCTACCTGCTGGCTGCTTCTTACACTCCAGGGGGTCTGTGCTGGGATGTCCCCGAGCAGCCTTGCCTGACCACCTGAGCTGGATGGACCTATGTACCTCTCTCCCCTGTCAGCCATCGGCTTGTTTGTTTACTGTTCACTTGTTTGTTCTAAAACACATTTGATGTAAAAAAATTTAGAAACTACAGAGGAGGGATAAATAAATAGGAAGAAAGGAAGGAAGGGAGAGAGAGATTACCCAAATATTACAACTCAGAGATACGCACTTTTGACACATAAGTTAGATCCCTCCAGCACACCAGTCCTTGTCTATACCAAGACACAAGAAGACACACACACACACACGCACATGTATGCACACACACACATACACACGCACATAAAAGGTGCAAGAACAAATATACAACAAAACCACATACATAGACAGAAATCAATCCACACACATTTTTGCATGAGTCATGTAGGACCTACTGTTTACAACTTTTGTAAAACAGAACCATGTAATGTGAGCGTCTCGCCCTGATGTCCTCCTGTGTGTGGCCTTTTTACTGGATGCCAGGTCTTTCGGGGGACAGCTTATGATGAGGACAGTGTCCCTTCCTGGGCCATTTGGACTGTTTTCTACTTTTCCTCCTGCAAACCGAACCAGAGCTGCTGGGAACATCCTTGCAGCTGGATCCCTGCCCATCCTTGAATATTTCCTAGAAGTGAAATTGTTGGACCAGATAGTATACTTACAAAAAATTTACACAACACACCAGAATAAAGGATTTAGAGGATACATAATTATCCCTATCGAATGAAGGATGAGAAGGTCCTATTTACTACCTTCAAGCACCCCCCTCCCAGGCCACTGCCCAGAAGAAATGACTGTCAGCCCAGGGGTGGGGGTGGGGGGTTTACTCCCAGTTTCTCGTTCTAAGCATTTGAATACACAGACCTGAAAACCCATCTAGATTTTCCCGATCTGTCACCCCGAAGAAATCCACACTGCGTGTCCACTTGCCTTTTTCACCTAATGGCATGTCTTAGAGATGAGTCCTCACTGGTACATAGGTCCGCCTCACTGTTTTGAAGAGTCTCATGGTGATCTCTAACATGGGTGTCAGGGTTGTTCATTTTATTTAAAAAATTTTTAAATTTTTGATTGATTAAAAATTGATTGATTTTAGAGGGAGAGGAAGAGAGAGATAGAAACATCAATGAGAGAGAATATTGATTGGCTGCCTCCTACATGGCCCCCACTGGGGATTGGGCCCATAACCTGGGCATGTGCCCTGACATGGGTCAATGCTCAACTGCTGAGCCACACCGGCTAGGGTTTGCCTGTGTTTTTTTTTTTCTTACTTTTACTCTATATATATCTGTATCAGTCATTCTTACACAGTATATTTTATAGGCCTTTAAACTTTATATAAACTGTATCTTACCATATGTATCCATCTACAGTTTGCTTCCTTATAACTCAGCGTTATTATTTTTTAGCTAAATAAATTATCTGCTTTTGCAATGTGTTGCTACATTGCTCTTCAGAAACATAATAAACATATATTCTCCAAGCCTGTGAACAATTTTACCCAAAACCTGATAGCATGGGTTTAAAGTACAAAGATATTCACAACAGTTCACCTCTCTCTTTGAAATTACTGCTAATTTGATAGATGAAAAAACAAACAAACAGAACCCATTGTTCTTCTGGTAGAATTTCTGTGCTCCCCGGCAAGGTTGAGGCAGAGCCAGTGCAATGGTTGGGAGTGTGCTGCCGGACCCGGGGTGCCCGGGCCCCACTCCCGGCTCTGCCACTTCCCCGAATGATCACTTCACCTCCCTGTGCCTGTGTCCGCTCCCGCAGAACGAGCATGCTCACACCTGCCTCACAGGGTTGGTGGGAAGGGCACGTGACCCTAGCATCCAGGAGACCTTTGGTGCTATTGTTGGCTTCTGGCCATGGCTGTCTCTGTGAGTGTATGGTTGGTATCCTCAGCCCACTTTTTCCTGGAACAAACATGTTGAATTATAATTCCTGAAGGATGCCCAGGCTCACTCTGTCCCCTCCACCTCCAGGGGGAGTTTTTCAGCCTGGCCCACCGCAGCCCACCTCCCTTCGCCCCGCCAGCGTTGGCTTTTCCTGCTGACCATGACCACATGGTGTACCTGGGCATCTCTGACTATTTCTTCAATACGGCTGGGCTTGTGTACCAACAGGCTGGAGTCCTAAACCTGACCCTCAAGGACGACATGGTAAGTCCAGGCTGGGGGTGGGTGTGGGAAGAGCCACAGATGGCCTGGACTTGAGTCTGTTCACACTGGGGAGATCAAGGTCTGGACTCTAGAGTCAGCCAGACCTGAGTTCGAATACTGGCCCCCTCTTTCCCAGTGGGGTCACCTTTGGCCAGTGACTCAACCTCTCAGAATCTCAGTTTCCTCATCTGTAAAACACCAAAAACAGTACAGTATCTACCTCCAAAGGGGGTAATGAGGATGAAATGACATACACATGTGTGGGAAGCACTCAGCACAGGCTTAGCATGTGGGAAGTACTCGGAGAGTACTCCGAGTAACACCAACACCGACTGAGTACTTGCCTGTGTCAGGCTTTGTAGTCCAGTCTCAGCATCACATCACCGTTATTGTCATCACCCTCACTGTCTCCATGTATTCGTGGCTGAGACTCAGTTTACCCACCTGTAAAGTGAGAAGATGATTATCCTCTCCAGAGTGTAGGTGCAACCTAATCCCAACCGGGTCACCAACTGCGTGGGCTTCCTCCTCCCCCACTTCAGAAGAGACGTCATACCCTCCCTCTCTGGAAAGGCGCCCAGGGATGCTGAGCCCCCGCCTGTCCCCTGTGGACATAAACTACCCGAATGAGAACTCTTCGGGGCAGGGTCAGCTACCACCACGTGCATTTGCCAAAGACTCAAAGACAGGCAAGAGCAGGAAAGCTCTCTAGTGAGACAGAGACAGGGCTTTAGGTGTGTGCTCGGGGAGGTTGTCAGACGGGGAAGCTGGATGTGGCTAATAGAAGCCGGGCATCCTATACGATTGGCTTCAGAGCATATTTGACTTTTTCGGGGCAAAAACTAAATAAATAAAAGGGTAGCTGGCAGTCACGGCGCATGTCCTGACCATTCAGGGTTGATTGCTGCAGAAGCTGTGGGTCAGCGTTCCACTGTCATATATGGTCTGGCCCTTGTCGTTGGTATATTCAGTCTCTCACCCCTCGTATATGGGATTTGCCCCCCTAATCTATAACATAATCCCCCAGAATCATTTCCTCTTCTTCTATTGCTACAGATTCCAAAGGAATCCAAAATCCGACTGACAACCAAATTCTTTGGAACCCTCATACCCCAGGTAAGAAAAGGCCTGCCCCCACCCTGCAGGCAGCTCTGGAGGTGGCCTGGGGGTGCTGAGAGGACAGGGCTCTGCTGGGTGGCCTATGGGAGCCCGCCGCCAGATCCAGAGGTGGTTTTGTCTGGGAGAGTGGCGGACACTTTGCACAGCCCATCTGCAAACAGAGAAAGGCTCCCAGCAGGCAGGCGCTCAGATGGAAGAGTGGCCGTGGGCTGGGGGCCCTCTTCTGGGGATCCAGCCAAACAGACCACGTCCCTGCCCTCCTGGGGCTCCAGCCCAGTGGAGAGAGAACATTATTATTCAGGTACTCAAAACAATAGGAAAGAAATGCAGACTGTGATAAGTGAAGCCAACAGGTTGATGAGGTCACATTAGACAAGGCAGCCAGGTAAAGCATCTGCTTTAGTCAGCTCCGGCTGCCGTAACCAAATGCCACAGCCGAGGTGGCTTAAACATCAGACATTTACTTCTCACGGTTCTCCTGGGCCAAGATCAAGGTGGCAGCGGATTCAGGCTGGTAAATGGCTGCCTTCTTGCTGTGTCCTCAGATGGCCTTTCCTGTGAGCACTTAGGGAGAGAGAGGGCTCTGGTGTCTCTTCCTATAGGGACGCTAATCCTGTCGGATCAGGGCCCCACCCTTATGACCTCATTTAATTTTAATTACTTCCTTAAGGCCCTTCTCCAAATACAGCCACACTGGAGGTTAGGGCTTCAATATATGAATTTGAGGGGTGGGGTGGGGGGGGACACAGACATTCAGTCCTTAACAGCCTCTTCAGTGGTGATACTATAGAAAATTTTATACAGGAGGTAGTGGCGTGGAGATGTGACTTATAAGGTGGCCAGGGGAATTGTCTTAAAGTTTAATTTGTATAACAATCACATTATTTTCACTCAGATTATGAGTTTAGCTGGGGGAAGATTGGAGGCCAGCAGAGATGGGGTGTCACCAAAGCTCTCCTCATTCCCCCTTAAAGCCACCACTGCTTTCGGAGGAGGTGACATTTGCACTAAGACCTGAGGGAAGGCAAAGAGCCAAGCTAGGAAAGAATGGAGGGACAAGCATTCAGCAAGAGGGAACAGAGAGTGCAAAGGGTCTTAGGAAAACAGCAGGTCATATTTGTGGAACAGGAGTCCCATGTAGCTGACACTGGAGATGCATGGCATGAGGTATTGGGGCGCCAGCTGCCAGATCATGCAGGCTTTAGAGTTTAATCAAAATGCAATGGGGCCCTGGCCGGTTTGTCTCAGCGGTTAGAGCATCGGCCTGCGGCCCGGAGAGACCCGGGTTCGGTTCCCGCTAAGGGCATGTACCTCGGTTGCAGTTTGTCCCCGGCCCTGGTTGGTCGTGCGGGTGGCAGCCACTCGATGTGTCCCTTTCATGTCGATGTTTCTCTCTCTCTCTCTCTCCCTCCCACTCTATCTGTGCAAAAAACGGAAAAAATGTCCTCAGTGAGGATTAAAAAAAAAAAAAAATGCAATGGGAAGACATTGGCGGTGTTTATGCAGGGCCAGGACGAGATAGGATAAAATTGCCTCTTCTGTTGGTTTCCCCCCCTGGGGACTGCAGGTGGCCAAGATGTTCCCCAACATGAACATGGAGATCCTCATCAGAGCCTCCTCTCCACCGTACCTCACTGTGTCCCCTGCTGGCCTTGCCTTCACCCCTGCCCTGGAGGCCCAGGCCTTCGCTGTCCTCCCAAACTCCTCCTTGGCCCCTCTCTTCCTGCTTGGCATGGTAAGCTGTTCCAGGGTGTGGGAAGATGGGGAGCCCTGGACAGGGCCAAGAGCACTATCCTCGGGGTCAGGGGACCAGTGTGAATCCTGCCCAGATTCAAACCTGGACTGTGTAGCACCAGGGCCTGAGACCAGAGCCATTACACCAACTGCTTTGGGTTCCTCCAGGCATTCATTCATTTTTTTATTCATTCCTTTGTTGGCTGAAATCTGTGTACTGTTCCTGATTCATTCACTTATATCTTCAGTCATTTACTCATACATTTGTGTGTTGTTCATTCATTTATTCATTCAGTTATTCATTAGATTACGAACTTGAAATATGCAATACCTTTTCTGCTTCATGCATGCAGTATTATTCATGTATTCAGTTACTTATACCTTTTTTCAGTTGATCATTCATTTGTATATTAGTTCTTTTATTCATTATTTATTCATCCACATATATCTTTGTTTATTCCTTCACTTGTGTGTTCAGTCCTTCACTTATTCAAGTTTTTATTCCATGGTTGATTTGTGCATTCATTCATTTGATCACTGTGTCACTCTGTGAACATTTGGTGACACCCATTCTGGCCACTGGGAGTAAAGGCCAGACTTTCTCCCCACCATGAGGCACTCACAGACCTCTGGCAGGTCTGCCTAGTCTCAAACTGAGACCCATTTTCCCCACTTTGCAGAGGAAATGGGTTCTGACAGGGTCCCCCAAGGTCACACAGGAACCTCAGTTTTCTGAATCACTAAATATGTTGAATGAATAAATAAATGAACAGCTGTGAGGACAGGGCTGGCCTAGATTCCAGCCCCATGGCCTGACTCACAGGTAGCTGGGCAACTCCGATATAGACTAAGAGGCCTGGGAGAAAACGGTGCTTGGTCCATGGGCCAAGACTCATCAATAAGCAAGAAGCAAAAGGAAGATTCTCCAGCCTGCCCCACCCCCGGCCCTGGCTTCTGTGGGTCTGACCTGCAGTGTGGGCTCCTCTGCCAGCTTTCTGAAGCTGACCCTCCCAGTCTTGGAGGCCTTCCAGAGCCCCCAGGCCCTGGCTCAGGATTTCACCTCCAGGGTCGTTGCTTTGCAGAGCGCGAACGTTTCTGTGGAGGTCGGCGCCATGTCCGACAGGCTGGTCGGGGAGCTCGACTTGGACAAGTAAGTGAGCCTGTGGGGACAACGGGAGGGAGCTACCCATTCGTTCGTGGTGTCCAAGGGCCAGCAATGACCTTGCGATGTGCCAAGTACTACGTCATTGCTTCCTGTTCCCCCGTCACACTGAAGCTTCAAACAGTGTGCAGAGGGCACAGGGTTCGCATTTTGCAGACAGTGAAACTAACACTCAGAGATGAAGTGACTTGCCCAAGGCCACACCTCGTAGGGTAACCAACCATCTCAGTGTGCCCCGAGTGTCCCAGTTTTAGCACTGAACGTCCCGCGTCCCAGGCCACCCCTCAGTCATGGGCCAACTCATAGCTGGGCAGTGCTGGCTAATGCCACTCAACACAGAATGACAGCCGCCCCAGCCACCCCATGTCCCCGGCCTTCCTTGGCACTTGGAAAACCCACTTCAACTTCTTCACCCCCATCCCTGGGACTCTGCCAGCCCGCCCCGCTGGGGGACTCTGGGAGCCGTGTGCAGGCGTGAAGCCGGCAGAGGGCGCTGTGGGAGGGCGGTCTCTGACATCGAGGCGTCCTGCATTTGAAGCTCAGCTCGCTGTGGTACGCAACCCACTCTCCAAACTTCAGAGTCACTGGCTGTAAAACAAGCCCAATAATTGTTCTTGGCCAACCCGAGGTCGTGAGGATAAGATGAGGCATCAATCTGTGTTGACGTTTTTGGAACACCCAAGGGAAAAAAATAGGTGCTCAATAAGCAAGAGGGAAAGAGAAAGGGACCCACAGAAAAAGAGAAACGCAGCAATTGGGGGAGAGACAGAGAGAGACAGGCACAGAGACAGATACTCCAAGAGAGACATTCACACAAAGGAAAGGAGGAAAGGAAGAGACTTCAAAAAAGAGACAGAGTGAGAACAAGACAGACGGACAGGGACAGGCAGATGGGGAGATGCATGGAGAGGCACAGTCTTTCTCAGAGAAAGACAGACAGACACAAAAGGAGGGAAGAGGGAGAGAAAGAGGTGACACAAAGAAAAAGAGGGGGCACACTCGGAGAGAGTGGATGGGGTGGCCCCACCGTTTAGACCTGGCATCCACCTCTTTCTCACGTCCTCGCTGGTTAAATTGCGTTCTAACCCACACTCCTGCCCATGCCTGCCTTCTCCCTGGCACAGAGCCGTCCTCCTTAACCTTGAGATCAGCGCCTGCGGTCTCTCATGACACCCTTTTGAGACATGCTGCTCATGTCTTGTGACACCCTTTTGAGAAGTGTTAATGCTTTGGAAACACGTGGATTTGATTTTCCTTGAAACACCCGTGGGCCCCTCAAGTAGAGGAGCCAGAGAGGGTACAGCTGGGTGTCGGCTGAGCACAGACTTTCTGAAATATGTAGGGTGGGGTGGAATCCACAGGGCGGAGTCCTGGGCTCCTCACTCTTGGTGAACAAGGGGGAGTTTTCAAGTTTTGTAGGGTATTGGAGACAGCAAAAGCTTTGGCATCAGAGAGACTTATTAGAAGTCCTACTTTGTTCATTGTTAGCTGAGTGGCTTTGGGCAGGTTGTTTGACCTCTCGGAGTGTCTGTTTTCTCATCTGTAACATGGGAGCCTGACGGCCCTTGCCTCTTGGGGTGTCGTAGGAATTCAGCGGGACGAGGTATTCAACATAGTGAATGACAGGGATTCAGTAAACAGCCCTTTATTTCTCCCTTTCTCTGAGGTCACATTGAAAATACCATAAAGGCTGTAAAGAGGAAATAGTTTATTGACTCAGGTCATTGAAAAGTCCAAGGGTTTCAGGCATGGGTGGATCCAGGTGCTTAAATAGGTCCTTGGGGCTCTGACTCTCTCCATCTCTTGGCTCTGCTATCCCCTATGCTGGCTTCATTTTCTAGAAAACTGTCACCAAGTGGTGACAAAAATGGTCACCAGCAGCTCCCTAACTTTCCTGGAGAAAAAAAGAACCCCTCATTGCCAGTATTTCCAACAGAATTCCTGGGACCAACTCTTATTGAGTTAGCAGGAGTCCCAGGTTCATTCCTGAAGCAATCACTGTGGTGACCTGCCCTCTGGCCACCCGCCCCAAGCTCAGCACTAACAATGTAGAGAATGGGTGATTTCCCCAAAGGAAAAATCAGGGGGCTGTGACCAGAGGAAAGGGGATAAATACTGGGTGGGAAAACCAGGCAGTGTTCCCCAGAGTGGGCCCTTTCTCCCCAGTAACTGAATTCTCATACAAGTCAGGAAAATGGTGTCTCAGCCTCCCCATCCCCTTCCCACAGGTTGCTGCTGGAACTGAAGCACTCGGACATTGGCCCCTTCTCGGTGAGTCTGAGGTGGTGGTGGCTCCTTTCTTCCCCTGATCTTGAATAACGGTCTTGAAGACCACTGGGCTCTGGCCTCATTTCAGAAGGCCATTGGTCATTTCCATAAAATTTGCATGTGAGGTAACGATGGGAGGAGTTTTGTGGCAGAGAGACCTGAGCTGCAATCTCTGCTCCTTGCCTTCTCACTAGGGATCCTGAGCATGTCACCTTCCCTTTCGGAACTTTAGCCCTTCCCCCCAAATCAGGGGTTCTGTCCACAGAGTCTTACTGCATGTGGCCTCTTGGTGAATCCCTGCAGAACATGTCCTTGGATCTCTGAAATGCCCACCCCCAGGATCCCCACCAAGTCAGACGGTTCCAATCCCCCCAGATCTGATGGAACTCCACCCAGCCATTTCTATCTGATGAGAGTACCGCAAACCAAAGGGCCCAAGGCTACCTCACTGTGTTTCCATGGACTTCCTGCTGCCCAGGCTCTCGCAGTGGGATGGCTCAGTGGGTAACCCACTTCTGCTCCTGCAGAAAATAAAAATGTTAAGTTCTTAGATTCATGGGAAGAAGGCCACCACATTTGCTGAGCCCAGAGAATTACAGCCTGGGAAAGAAGACTCCATTGTTCCAGAAACAAAAATGTACATATTTACAAGTGGCAAATGCGACCCCTGCAGGGACTCTCCTGAAGGTGTTACATTATTGTTGAATTCTTCTTATCATTGCAAAAGCAGAGCATTATAGAACTATACATTATAGAGCCATCAGAAGCTACAGGCTTACAAAAGAGAGGAAATAAAAACCAGTTCCTAATTTCCCCACTAGTAAATAATTTGGAGTATATTCCTCCTGACCTTTCGCTCTGCATATTCAGTAACAATATGGAATTCTGGGGTTTCGACAGCCTGCTTTTCCTTACTCGAAAAATATCACGAGTGTCTCTGTGATGCTAATTATTCTTCTACAAAGTCATGCATAACAGTTGCATAGTTTCCTAGCCTCAAAGTGCCACCATGTCCTCCAGATGATTACCCTAATTTATTTTTTTCCAATGTTTATTAATTTATTTTTGTTACAGATGTTTCTCCTTTTTCCCCCCAGATACCCTCCTCCCCATCCCGCCCTCCCACCCCAAGCATTGTTGTCTATGTCCATTGGTTATGCTTATATGCGTATAAATTCTTTGGTTTATCTCTTATCTCCCCCCACCCCCTCCTTTGAGGTTTGTCAGTCTGAACCATACTTCTTTCTATGTCTCTGGGTCTATTTTGTTCATTAGCTTATTTTGTTCATTACAGTCCACAAATAAGTGAGATCATGTAGTATTTGTCTTTCTCTAATTGGCTTATTTCCCTTAGCATAATGCTCTCCGGGTCCCTCCGTGTCATCTCAAAGGATAAGAGATTTCTGATTCCCCAAATTAAAAAAAAAAGTTTGCCCTGGCCGGTTTGGCTTAGTGGTTAGAGCACTGGCCTGCAGTCCAGAGAGATCCGGGTTTGGTTCCCGCTAAGGGCACGTGCCTCAGTTGCAGTTTGTCCCAGGCCCTGGTTGGGTCGTGCAGGTGGCAACCACTCGATGTGTCCCTTTCACGTTGATGTTTCTCTCTCTCTCCCTCCCACTCTATCTGAACAAAAAATGGAAAAATGTCCTCGGGTAAGGATAAAAAATAAATAAATAAAATTCTCCTTTAAAAAAATTTATTACAGTGTAGTTGACAGGCAATATTGTATTAGTTTTCAGGTGTACAACATAGTGATTTGACATTTATACAACTTACAATGTGATCACCACACTAAGTCTACTATCCACCTGTCACTGTGCAAAGCTATCACACTGTAACTGACTACATCCCCCCCCATCAACCTCCCCTCTGGCGACCATCAGTTTGTTCTGTTTCTATGAGTCTGTTTTGATTTCGGTTTGTTCGTTCGTTTGGCATTTTTGTTTTGTTTGTTTTAGATTCTACATATAAGTGAAGTCATGCTGTATTTGTCTTTCTCTGAATCATTTACCCTCCAGGTCCATCCATGTTGGGCAGAATTTCATTCTTTTTTATTGCTGAGTAGTATTCCATTGTTTCGGTTATATTGATCACTCTGAGTATCCTTGCATCTGTTTCTGCCCACACCCTAGTCCCTTCCTTAGGATAAATGCCTCAGAGGCATGTTTGCAGCCACCAGGCACACACATTTCTAAGGCTTTTGGTGAACATTGCCGAACAGCCTGGGAGAGGGTGAACCAGGGTGCCCTCTAGCCCGCAGTGCCTGGGATAATGCACTTACTCACACAAAGATTTTCACATTGAAATACTCTCTGCTGACCATCCTCACCTCTGCCCTGCTCCTTACAGTCTAGAACTTGCTTTACATGTGGGCCCTTTAGAGTTAAAGAGATCACTTCTGAGACTTGATCGGACTGCAGAGTTTTCACATCTCTTGGGTCCATCTCCCAGCAGCTTTTCAGCTGTGAGGTTGTCCTGCATGGGCCGGGAGTTGGTGATGGAGGCCTGCTGACGCCTCAAGGCCCTCACGTGGGCCCGTCCTCCTGTTTTCCAGATTGAACTGCTACAGTCCATCATGAACTACGTCGTGCCGTCTATTGTGCTTCCCAAGGTTAATGGTAAGAAGCTTTGGAGACACAACTGATTTTTAGTCCCAGGAGAAGTCGTGGGTGACTCCTAGAGCCACTTAATACCTGGCCCCAGTTGTGGGGGCTGGGGGTGGTCACCTCAAATGGCTTCTGACCCAGAACAGGAATGGAGAAAAGGGAACCCATGTGGGTGGAGCTCTATTACATGCCCATCCAATCCTTATGAGGATTATTAATATCTCCAGTTTTCATGAGAGATCAGAGAAGTGAAATGACCAGGTCACAGAGCGGGTGAGGGATGGAGCTGGGGTTTCATCCCACCTCTGAAGCCAGAGCTCTGGTCTTTTTCCAGCTCTGGGAGGAAGGCCAGGGAAGAAGGGTCTCACACTCACCACACTGGTAAAGGCCCCCGGCAGGCCTATGCTAACTTTGGCATAGCTGGGGGCAATGGCGCACAGAGAGGCCCATATAACATGCGCCTGGACTATTTAAAAATAATAAAAACAACAAATTAGCTTATAGAGTCTGACTCATCCTCCCACCTTAACACATAAAGCTTCATAACGAAGCAGGAGACCAGGTTTGAATTTAGCATCCTCTGAAGTTCCAGTTCAGAATGTGGTGGTGTCGAAGGAGCTGGCCCCTGGCCACTGCCCATCTCTGATTTTATCCTAAACATCGACGGGCTCCCTGCACACACAAGTAGATACCCCCAATCGCATATCCACGGGCTGTCCACACCGGTGCCAGCAGCGCCCCCTGGCGGCACTCTGACCTGGTGTCCACCTGCAGTGCCGTCACCTCAGCAGGTGATTGTGGTCAAGAGGCCGGCACAGGTCCTGGACGTGAGCTTGGGTGATGGGGCAGGAATGGGAGGGTCCCAGGTTTCTCTCCGGTCCAGGGAGGCCACCCACCTGGCTCTCTTGGGCCCCCTGCCCTAGCCGCTGCCTTCTCCCTCCCCTGGTCCCTATCTTCACCTCCCTTGCAGAGAAGCTGCAGAAAGGCTTCCCTCTCCCGATGCCCTCCCGGGTCCAGCTCTACAACCTGGTGCTTCAGCCTTACCAGGTGAGTCCCCAAAGTCTCTTTGCATCTGGTCTCCCACCACCACAGCAGCCTGGTGCTGAAAAGCATTTCTGAGCAAGCCCTGTGCCAAACACCTCCTACCCTTACCATGGCCTGGAAGGTGAGTACTCTCAAACAGAAAAAGCACTACGGCTTAGAAATGCCACAGGGCTGTTAAATGAAGTCCGGCTGCAAAGCCAGGTCACTGCCTTTTTTTTTTTTTTAATGTGTTTTACTGACTTTTCAGAGAGAGAGGAAGGGAGAGGGAGAGAGAGAGAAACATCGATGTGAGAGAAAACACTGATCAGTTGCCTCCTGTACTCACCCTGACCAGGGATCGAACCCACGACCTGGGAATGTGCCCTGACCAGGAATGAAAGGAGTGACCTTTCGAACCAACTGAGCCACACGAGCCAGGCCAGGTCCCTGCTCCTAGCTGGGGGCTGCATCCTTCCCAGCCAGCACTCAGTGGAAACGGAACCCCTCGCTGGCGCGGAGCCCCTTCTCTGTGGTGGCTGCGTTATTCACTGAGACAGCGCTGCACGCCTCCCTTTGCATCAGCATCATTCTCGTCCCCTGGGGCATGAAGCCTGGTCAGCGTCTGGTGAATTTAGATACTAGACTGGACCACCTCCTCTTGCCTTTCTCCCAGCCTGACCCCAACAGCACTGGACACTATTTACCCCGTCCTTGGGAGTATTCTTCCCTTAGCTTCAAAGACGCCACTCTCCCTGTTCTCCAGTGGCCTCTCACTGGGGCCTTTACAGTCTCCTTTGCTGCTTCCTGCCTCCCCTTCCTTCCCAGAGGGTGTTCTCCAGGGTTCCTGCCCAGGCCTCTGCCTCCCCCCTCTATGGGCTTCCCCTGGTCACTCTCATCAACTCAGGCTCAACAGCCGCCTTTGTGCCACCCCAAGGCCCTAGCAGTCCCAACGAAGCTGGTCACTCTGCAACAAACCATCACCTGCTGTTGCATTCCTTACCTTGGTCAACGGCTTTCCTGACAACCTCGTGGTCCTCATGGGAAACCCCATCACCCAGATTCCTCGCCCTCCCTCACTCCCATCGTCCAATCAGCCCCTGGCACTTTAGACCAGGGAACTAATGGGGCTAACAGAAAAAAAGATGAGAGAACAGAGAAAGCACAACTCCTATGTTGCCCACCCTTTACCACGTTTATCCTTAAAAAAGCAAATGACCCCATGGCACAGTATAACTTCTTTACCTATGAAGGTTCTAAGTGAAGGGCACGAAGGAACACAGGGAAGTGGTTTTGCAGCCTTGGCTGGAACAAGGGCTCCCTGGAGCTGCCATGAGACCCGGATGACAAAGAAGGCCTCCAGGGCTGCCCTGGGGGAGGGAGTTGGGAGGGTCTCCACTTCCGAGAAGGGAGCGGCTGCCAGGGACACTGCGACAGATTCACAGGCTCTGTGATGTGCAGGCCCCAGAGGCAAGACCCCGAGTGCCCCCACTCACTTCTGCCTCCCTGTGAGCAGGCAGGCCCCACTCTGCTCTCCCCTTTCCAGTTTTCTTCTAACAGCCCAGCAGCCCCACCCTCACGAGGCGTGCACTTCCTGCTGACGACAGTTTACATCTCTTCCTAGGAATTCCTGCTGTTTGGAGCGGATGTTCATTACCGCTGAAGTCGCACAGTGCCAGGGACTGTCAGCCACACCAGGAGTGGAGGGGTCGTCACTACCCGTTCCTGACAGGCCCGTGGGGCACAGGCCACCTTTCTCCAGGGTCCCCCTCCAGCTCTTGACTCTAAGACCCTTGCAAATTTCTCTGAGCTCAGGTTCAGAAATAACCTAAACTTAGCCTTCTTTCTCGGGAAAGTGTGTGGTGTGTGTTTCAGGGATTATGAGCTTCTGACATTTCCTCCTAGAAGTGCATTTCAGTAGTAACCACAATATTTCTCTTTGTGCCTCACACAAAAAATACCTGGGTTTTTTTAAATGTGGCATTCTGTGTGGTGGTATTGTTTCTTGTTTTATATTCATTCAGTCAGTCATTGACTGTACCCAGCATGGCCTGTAGCATCAGTGTACAGCACAGATACAGTCACCTGTTTATTTCTCTAATTATTCTCTTGAGCCCCCATACACCTCTGTTTGAAAAAAGTGTCATTGTTCCTCTTTGAGGACACCCCTCATTCCACACTGGCCAAGAATCCAAAGGGAGTAAGTCTTGCTTCCTAATGCCAGACAGTTTGCAGAGTGGATGGGTCCACTGGGATGCTGTTCCTGCCATTGCCATATGGTGTCGCTGTTGAACAGCTATCTTGCACAGCCTGTTTTCCCTGCCCAAGGACGGTGATTCCTTTAATCTGTGCTCTCCTCTCCTGCCCAGCCATTGGGCTCAAAGCAGAACTGAGCCAGAAGACAGTGGCCACTGGAGTTTTCCATATATGTACATGGAAATATATATATATGTAAATATTTATATATATGTTTATATATATCTATATATGTAATATATTTTTTTAGAGAGGAAGGGAGAGGGAGAAAGAGATAGAAACATCAATGAAAGAGACACATCAATCAGCTGTCTTCTGCACACCCCTCATCAAGCCCAAAACCCAGGCATGTGTCCTGACCGGGAATCAAACCAGCCACCTCTTGGTCCATGGGTCCATGATCAACCACAATGAACACTTCCCCATGACTTTTCAGGCTGGTGTGGAAGCCAGATCACCAGCCAAGACTGTCCTCGGGCTCAGTGAGTTTCCTCCCGGGCTTTGGGACCCTGCCATGGGACATGAGGTGTGGCTATCTCAGGCCATTAAATGGGTCCTAAGAACATTTTATTTCAAATTGAGTGAGCATTTCTGGAAGGCTTGTTTGAGCTGTGGACATGTGGTCTGAGACCAGAAGCGTGAGGAAGACTGAAGCAGTCAGTGGAGTGTGGGGTGACGTGACCAGATTTCGCTTTGAAAATGTTTGGCTGTGGTTTTCGAGAGCATTGGAGGGGCAAGAGTGGACGAGGGTGGACACAAATTCGGAACCTGTTGTTCAGACTTCATCCGGGCCGGCGATGGTAAAAATGGAGAATAGCGTTTGTAGCGATGAGAAGCAGATCAAAGGCGTTGTTAAAGAAAAATGCACACGGTTCTGCAAACATCATCAATTCTCTAAGGGAGGCAGAGGCTCTGGGGCCACCCAGGGGAAGGGAGGGTCACTGATCAAGCACCGTCCATGAATAATTTTATTTAACCCCCAGCACTCTCACCCCCTGAGTAGGAAGCGGTCAGTCCTTTCAGACTGAGCCTCTGTCCCTGGATCGCTGGGCTGGCACGTGGCAGAGCTGGATTGCCACCCCCTCTGGCATCAGAACCCATGCCCTTTCCACTCTCCCAGGTGTCAAACTCTTGTCTGAGTGATGCCGGGGATGCTGAGGGCAGAACTGCCATGTTCCGTTGCTCTGGTTGTGCACTGAGGACAGGTGTCTGGCAGAGGGGACAAACAAAAGCCTTCCTCTCATCTGCCCGCCCAGAGGACGCACCTTCTTCTGCTCTCCGGGCGGAGGCTCTGAAATGGAACAGAAAAGCCGCCAGTGAGGCAGGAAGACAGTGAGTGGGAACACACACGGGACGAGCAGGAGAATGACACAATCCACTTCGTGTTTTCACAAGACCCCTCTGGCCCTGGCCGGTTTGGTGCAGCAGTTAGAGTGTCAGCCCGTGGACCAAAGAGTCGCGGGTTCGATTCCGGGCACATACCTCGGTTGTGGTTCGTCCCTGGCCCTGGTCGGGGATTGTGTGGGAGGCAACCGGTCGATGTGTCTCTCTCACATTGATGTTTCTCTCTCTCTCCCTCCTACTCTACCTGAAAATAAATAGAAAAATATTCTCCTGTGAGGACTAAACAAAATAATAAATAAATAAATAAATAAATAACCCCTCTGGAACGGGAGCAGAGCTGGGAAGCACAGGGACACAGCCCTGCCTTTCCCCACCTTCTCATCTCCCGCCATTCTCTTTGCACATCGTCCCCCCCACACACACACACCCTCTACTTTCCAAAGCATTCAGGCAGCCCCTACCCACTCTCTATAGAAAAAAAAAAAGCAGTATTTCTTGACCTAAGGACTGGTGAGTGGAACACACTGTGCCCTGGGACCTCTCCCTGATGGCTAAGAAACAGGCAGCTGTTTGGAGGTGCGATCCGAGGCGCACCCCCCGAGACAGTCGAGGATCTGCCAGGCTGCCTGCGGAGTGTTGGCAGGGCGGCTCCTCCCTCCGAGTTCGCGGCTGCACAGGACTGCGGACGTGCGCCTGTGTCCCTGGGGGTGCTGGGAGTGGTCTATCATAGGGTAGCTGCACAACTCTGTAAATAGAGTAAAAACCACTGAACTGTACACTTAAAATGGGTGAATGTTGTGGTATGTGAAATATATGTCGATAAAGCTGCTAAAAAGCAGAAAGAATTGCCTACTCCACACTGCCTAAAAGCTCACCATTTAATCAGCTTCCCTTCAGGGTTAAGTGTCACCTTCTTGGGGTTCCTTTTAGAGATGGTGACATTAATATGATGGAGGGGTGCCCTCTGTGGGGAGACGAGGGGCGGGCCACGCAGAGACTTAACCACTGTGTTCAGCATTTTGCCCACATCGCGTTGCTGGCCATGAGTGTCCCTGCCCTGGGCCACTCTCTTACACTGACTATCTCATTTAATCCTCAGGACACCTCTGAGAGTAGACAAGGAGCCCTTATTCCCCGGATGAAGAGTCTGAGGTTCAGGGAGGTGATGTGGCCTGCCCAAGCACCTGGCCCTGGTTCTGAAAGTCAACCCAGCCCCGAAAGGGCCGCACAACTTTCCAAATGTTACGTAACCTCTCTGATTCTCCATTTCTTCCTCTGAAGAGGGAAACACCTTGCCCTTGTCTTTGGCGTGAGGTTGTTGGGAGGAATCAGCGGTATCATCAATGAGCTCATGGCACGATGGCTAAGAGCAGGGGCTGTGCCCCAGACTCTGTGAGTTCAAGCCCCAGCTCTGCTATTTACCAGCTGTGTAGCCTTGGGCAATGAAATCCCAGGACTTTGATTTTTCTTACCTGAGTCATAGTAACCTGACAGGGTCGTTATGAGAATCAAGTATACGTGCAGTCTGTGGGCCCAGGGCCCGACAAGTAGGATTCAAAGTTAGCTCTAGACACGAGTAAAGCCCATTCTTCCCTCCTACTGGAAGGACTGAATTGCCATTGTTGTATTCCCAATGCCTGGCACACAATAGGTGCTCAATAAATATTTATTTTAAAAAGCACCTAAGGTTTGAATTCACATCTGAGTGTCTCAAAGCTACCATGTCAGTGGTTCTCAAAGTATGATCCTGGGCTGCCTGCCTGGATGGGCCTGACCCCAAGAATCGGAACCACGGGCTGGCCAGAAAGCTGGGTTCGGTGCTGGGCTCGCAGCGAGACTCGGATCAGCCCCTCTCCCTCTTGGGCTTCAGTCTCGCCATCTGTGAAAGCCAGGGCCCTCTGGGACTCCGGGAAAGGAATCCAATAACGTGAGCTCTGGCAAATATTAAAGAATCTTTCCTCGCTGAGAAACTTCATTTTAACAGGAGCTCCTTAGGGTCCCCAAAGCTATCAAGACTCAGTGAAACGAGGCTACTGCTGGGATTTTAGATGCGGCCGGTTGCAGAGGAAAGGGGATGAGGGGGGGAGAGAGGAGAGGGTTCTCGGGTTCCTCAGATTCCCCCTGGGGTGAGGGGCTGTGTACCCATACATCCAGCCCTGCTCCAGGGGCTCTCCTGGCACCCCGAGTAGGTGACACACAAGCTTCAAACTTCACTGGATTGTCACTGATATTACTATTTTTCTTCTATAAAGCCACATGCTCAGGGCTCATGTGTGCGTGTGTGTGTGTGTGTGTGTGTGTGTGTGTGTGTAAAAGAGAGAGAGAGAGAGAGGACTAGGAGAGGGGCCAACGATATGAAACCCTCAAATCTAAAGCGCCCTACAGAGACCCAGAATTTCATATATTCATAGCATCGTTGTCTTCCAGCGAGAGCTGATGTTCTCAGGAGTGTGGGCACGTCAGGGGAAACCGCATTGAAAATAAAAGTGAACAAGGTTATAGCACCGCTGAGCTTAGAGGGAACTGGAGCTCCTTTTGTCCCTTGCACTCCAAGCACAGTCCAGTGTCAACACCCCCTGGGAGCTTGTTAGAATGCAGAGTCTTGGCCCCCAAAGGAGCCTCATGAAACAGACCTAGCGTTTAAACAAGCTCCTTGGTATATATACACGACAACATCTTTATCCATGCATCCATCAGCGGACACTTGGGTTGTTTCTATGGCTCAGCTGTTGTGGAAAATGCTATAATAAACACGGGGGTGCAGGTATCTCTTCGATACCCTGTCTTCATTTTCCCTGGATAAATACCCAGAAGTGGAATTGCTGGGTCGCACGGTAGTCCTCATGCAGATGTCGTGGTATGTGTATACGGTGGAAGACTATTCAGCCACGAGGAAGAAGGAGATTCTGCCGTCTGCAACAACGTGGGTGACAGTTGAGAGCATTATGCCGAATGAGATAAGAGTGACAGAGGAAGGCAAATACTGTATGATCTCACTTATCTGTGGAATTTTTAAAAGCCAGATTCGTAAAACCAGAGGGTGGACTGATGGTTACCAGGGGCTGGGGGCAGGGAGTAGGAGAGATGATAAGACAACATTAGAACGCGTAGATAAATACGCCCTGGAGACCTCATACACAGCAGTGCTTAGAGACAACAACACCGTATTATAAACATCAGAGTTGTGAAGAGACTAGATTTTAATTGTTCCTGACACACACACACACACACACACACACACAGATAATTATGTGGCAGGATGGAGATGTCTGCTAACACCACCGTGGCCATCATATTACAAGATATAAATATATCAAGTCAACACGCTAGTTACACCTTACACTTATAGGTTGACTCTATTTCATTAAAAATGCATTTAAAAATAAATAGACAAGATCCCTGGAGGATTTGAGAAATGCTGTCCTGGTCCAACACCTTCCCCTGCACTTGGAGGGAAAGTGAAGATCAGAGAGGCACATGGCGTGCCCCGTGTCACACAGCCCATCAGGAGAAGACCCCAGAAAGGCTTCCCTGCTGCCGGTCCTTCCCCTTTTATGGCTCCTCGTTTTGGCAGCACCTCCTCCGCAAGCCGCCCTCTGACCCTCCAGATCCAGGAGTATGTCAGCTCTCCACGAGGCTTCTTCAGTGGCTCCCAGAGACCCCCGTGGTGGCAGAGCGTGAGTGTCATCCTCTCTCAGTCCACTGTCCCTGCACAGGACCTGCAGATGCTGGAGAAGAACTCAGAGCTCTCCACAAGGGGAAGGCACCAGCTACGAAAGATCAGTGTGCTAATCATGCCAATCAGGGAACCAGAGTCCAGCTCAGATGGCTCTTGGGATTCAGATGAAGGGCTATTTGTAGAGCTGGGGGAAAGGCTTAAGGAAATCGGTGAAGGATGTTGAGGCTCCAGGAACTAGCATTCCTAAGCTCGAAGAGCAAAAATGATGTCGGGGTGTCCAAGCCCAGTGAGAGGCTCAGGGGTGACACAGCCATGGCCAGAACCCTCTGACTGCCTGGCGTGCTACCTCTTGGCTAAGCCCAACTACAGATGGGGAAACTGAGTCACAGTGCCCAAGGTACCCAGTGGTCGAGTCAGGATTCACACCCAGGCCTTCCAGTCCCGGAGCCCACGCCCTACGCCTTGCACCGTGTTCTGCTCTGTGTTCATTCACTCTTCGGACCCTTTCCTCCTACGTGCCACTCAGTAGGCCCAGCACGTGGTCTCCAGATTCTGGGTTTTCTAGTCTTTTCAACCAGCACTTTTGTAATCAGAACGCAGCCAGTATTGTTCTTTAGAAAAGGAACTTGCTGTCGGACTTGCTGGTGACAGGATGGCAGCAACCGTGTCTTTCACGGAAATGGAGGGACAGCCTGGCAGGAAAAAGGCCGGGCTTCTGACCACCTGTGGGTCACACTGCTGCGGGCGGCCTCTGCTGGGTCCTGGTCACCAAGGGCACTCGAGCAGGGGAGAGCACGGAGGGGGTGGAGGCCTGGCCTGGGCCACAGGGTACACTGGCCAGGGCAAGTCTCAGGTCCAAAGTCCACTGCTGTGGGAATCTGCACCCCCCTTAGAGATACCCCCCGGGACAGCTGCAAACTGCCACCAGAAGAGTGATATCTGTGTCCCCATGAGGTCCTCACTCTCCACACTGTCCTCCCCCCGCTCTGAAGGGCCCATGGGAGTCACCTGCTCTGTCCTCATTTCACAGAGGGAAACTGAGGTACAGCAGGAAACAGGCTTGCTGAGGGTCACATGGCAGGTCAGAACAACGGTTTCCTGACTCCCAGCAAAGGACCAGTCCCCACCTTGGCAGGTGGGGTCCAGGAAGCAGATGCCCCAGGATGGCTGAGTCCTCCCAACCCTGCCCTCAGCAGCACCCAGCTGGTGGGCAACAGCCGGGACCTCGACAGACCTCCAGCAGGTGACAGCGGAGCAGAGAGGCGGCTGTGGACTTTCCCGCGCTCAGTGTGGGAAGTTCTCTTAACCCCGACTCTCGTGCCTTTTACGACCCGCTGGGGAGAAACTGTTACTTCCACCACGTCTGATTTGTTGAGGCAGTCACAAAGACCCACTCAATTTATGCCCACCCAAATTTCAAGGGGAGGGCACAAAGACTCCACCTTTTTTTTTAAAAAAAAAATGTATTTGAGAGCAAGAGAGGAAGGGGGCAGAGAGAGAGAGATTGATTTGCTGTTTCATTTACGTATGCATTCGTTGCTTGACTCTTGCATGTGCCTGACCTGGTCAAACTCACAACCTTGGCAAGTCGGGATGACACTCTAACCAACTGAGATGCCTGGCCAGGAGAGACCCCACCTTTTGATGGGAGGAGTATCAAAGACTTTTTGGCCATATTTTTAAAGGCCCACAATTATGAAAAAGCAGAGAATGGTTAATGCTACGAGGAAGAAAGTGTAGGGGATTCTAAGACCTCAGAGGGAGACCTTTCTCTAACCCAGGGAAAAGTAGAGGTAATCAGGGAGGGCTTCCTGGAGGTGGGGGTAGAGCAAAGCTCACAAAGATAGGGAGTCCTGAAGGGATCCGTATGAAGTTAGCACAATCCCTATTACAAATTAAGTTTTCCAAAATGAAATTTCATCATCTTTACTTAATGCAAATACAATATTTCCCCAGGACCACGCCGCCTCAAAATAAAAGTTTTAAATACCAACAAGCAAAAAGATTTTCTAAATACCTATAATCCTGCCCGTCCAACCAGAGACAATCCCTCATAACTCCTTGTGAAGAACTTTCCTGATTGGCGAACATGGGACTAGAATAAAGAAATGAAATCTCATTATGTGGTGTCATTAGAAACCGGCCCCTCACGACCATATTTACAAATACATCAGTTTCCGCAGCCTCACTTTAAATGGCTGTATCATCGGTAATTTAACCAGTGCCCTTTTGTTGGACACCTGAGGTTGGGTCCCCCTCCTCCTTTGCCTGTTTCACATGGCACCACAGTGGGCATCTCGGGTTCTGTGACATTTGTACACTGACTTACTTATGTAATGCCTGGGTCCCCAAGCAGGCAGGCGTTTAATGATTTACCAGGTTACCTTCCCGGAAATTTTACTACCACCAAGGTTTGAGAAAGCACGTTTTCCCAGGCGGGATGGGGGTGGGGTGGGAACGGTTCTTTTTTAAAGAAACAGAGTCGAGCATAAAGAAGATAGCATTTGGCCCTGGCCGGTTTGGCTCAGCGGTTAGAGCGTCAGCCTGCGGTCCGGAGAGACCCGGGTTCGGTTCCCGCTAAGGGCACGTACCTCGGTTGCAGTTTGTCCTCGGCGCTGTCGGTTGTGCGGGTGGCAGCCACTCGATGTGTCCCTTTCACATCGATGTTTCTCTCTCTCTCTGTTCCTCTCTCTCCTTCCCACTCTACCTGAACAAAAAATGGAAAAATGTCCTTGGGTGAGGATAAAAAAAAAAAAAAAAAGAAGAGAGCATTTGGAAGGCCTCAGACTGTCTCTGCCTCCCAGCTCTGCCATTTGCTGGGTGCGTGATCTTGAGTGTGTGGCCTCTCTGAACCTCGCTTTCCCAGTCTGTACAACCCGGCCCTCCTAGCAATGAACGTGGAGTCTTTCTTTGGGAAGGGTGGACAGATATTGCCACCTGGGGCCCGGCCAGCCCATCCTCTGACCCTGGGGCGACAACAATGAGCTTCTAAGTATGACCCGTGACCCCAACAGTGTCGCAAGCAGGTTCCAGTTCCTGTGCCGTCCCTCCCTTCCTGTTTCCAGGAACCCATCCCCACACTGGAGCTGGCCCAGCCCTGGGCACAGCTACTTAAGGGAGCTGGGCTCAGCCGGCCCGGTGACAGTCCTGGTCCATCCACCAGGAATCTAAGATGGGGGCGTCAGCCAGGGCCCTGCCCCCTCTGCTGCTGGCGGTGCTGCTCACATCCTTCCCGGGGGCTCTGGGTGCCAACCCCGGTCTGGTGGTCAGGATCACAGACAAGGGCCTGGAGTACGGTAAGAAACGAAGGCTGCCGGCTGGACTGGCGGACCCGCTTGGCGCCAGGCTGCTCTGGGTATGGCGGAGCACCCATAAGGTGCTCTTCCTCCGGCCGTGTGGCCTTTCGGGCCCTGGCTCGGACTCTGGCCTCATCACCCAATTGCTGTGCCACTCAGGCACTAACTTGTCTTAGCTGGGGTCCCGCCAACCAACAGAGACAAGGACTTGGGTGTGAGTAGTTGATTTGGGAGATGCTTCCAGGACACACCACGAGGAGGGGGGGGGGGGTGGAGTGAGACGGAAAAAGGAAGGAGGGCAGGAGGTGGGTGTCACTAAACCAGCTACCACCCAGTGACTGCAGCAAGTCCACTGGAGAAAGTCTTGGTAAAGGTTGAAAATATGTGCCTGGAAACCAGAAGTCAGAATGGTGGTCACCTCCGGGGGCCAGTGGAGACCCAGGAGGGGCACAAGGGCACCTGTTGGGTGCTGAGAAAGTGCTACCCCTTATCCGAGTACATGTGTGCATAAAAACTTTCTAATTACCTAGCAGTACTGTAAGATTAGTGCCCCTTAGGTACTTTATGATTTTATACCTCCATTTTAGAGAATGAGCAAAAGTAGGAGTATATTTTAAAATATGCTGAAACAATGCTGCAGAATTAATCCATCCAGGGGGCAAGGGGTGTGGGGTATATACCACACCCCATAGTAATTGATCAAGGGAAGCCCCTCAATTCATGGAGCCTCAATGGCCTTATCTATTAAATGGGGTAATAACATTCCCTCAGGTAGGGTTGTTAGGAGCGCAGACTGTCTGGGAGCAGAAGGAAGGAAATCAGGGAAGTCTTCCTGGAGGAGGTGAGGCAGAAAAAATAAGTGGAAGTTAGCCAGAGACAAGGGGGTGGCATTCTGGCACAGGGGCTGGCACATGCTTCTGCTGAAGGGAGGACTGCCAGTTGAAAAGAGGCAGACCGTTGGTCATCAGTGTGCACATGCCCTCCTTGAGGGCAGAATCCTCGCTCCCTCAGGTTTCAGAACAAACAGAAGACCCTGTTGATATTAAAACCCTAAATCAGGCAAAATTTGCCTTTTGTTTCCTTCTGCATGTGAATGAATGTACCATGTTTATGTAACCAGAGCTCTAGACTTGGACTTTTTGGACCTTTCTGTGTTTTGAATATATAAACCCGCCTTGCTCTTCCCGGCATGGACTGAGCACCTGCTGTGTACCAGGCACCAAGCCAGGAGTGTTTTTGATCCTCCCAGCCCCCTGCGCTCTGCATTGATTTCCTTTAATCCCCATGCCCCCCACGGAGGAAAGGATTGTCATTGCATTTTGACAGATGGAGAAAGTGGAGGTCGAGGACTTGTTCAAGGTCATCCAGCTAGAAAGATGTGAAAGCCAGGATTCTATCCCTAAAATCCGTAGTTTCTTCATGCAGGCTCGATGTCATGAAGGACAGGAAAGAGAGCCACCCGCCCAAGTACACAGCCCTTCTCCCCTCCTGGAGTTGCCGACACAGGCATTGGCTTCCTCGTTCATAAAATGGGCACATGCCACACGTACTGCAGTGACGTCCTAGGTTTTTCTTAAGCCACCTGGCATGCAGAAGGGCTCATAACCCATAGCTGCAATTCTTGTTAATAAGGAGGTTGGCCTTTGCCCCCAGGGCGGTGGGAGCCCTGAAGGGATTGGAGGGGAGGAAGGCAGGCTGGCTAGGCTGACTCCCAGCTTCTTCCTGTCCACAGTGGCCAAGGAGGGGCTGGTGGTCCTGCAGAGTGAGCTGCTCAGAATCACGCTACCCGACTTCTCCGGGGACTTCAACATCAAGCATATTGGACGTGGGCAATATGAGTTCCACAGGTGGGAACTTCCGCTAGGGCCCTGAGGGGGCTGGGCAGGCATGGGAGCCTGGAGAGCAAGAAAGAGCCCCAGGATTGGGCCGGGACCCCCCTGGGACAGACAGGGGAATCGTTCTTCTCAGAGCCCAGAGGAAAGTTCTGGGAGGGAAGTAGGCTCCTCTATTCGCTCACACAACAAATATTAATGAAGACCTACTAACTGTGGACCTGAGCCTCAGTTTCCTTATCTGTAAAATGGGGATGACATTGCTACCTCCTTTGGTTAATAATGATCCAGGCTCTGGTATGACTCCTGGACCTAGTCTAGAAGGGAAGATAGACCTTAAACTTCAGGTACAGTGGCCCAACTGATAGAGCTGAGGTTTGTACATCCGGGGGAGTCAAGGGAGCTTCCCAGAGAAGGTGGCATTTGAACTGAGTCTTCAAAGAATTATTAGATATGAGCAACTAATGCTAAAAAAAAAAAAGGCATGAGACAGTTCTTTTTTTTTTTTTTTTATCCTTACCCTAGGACATTTTTGCATTTATCTTCAGATAGAGCGTGAGGGAGAGAGGGAGGAAGAGAGAGAGAGAGAGAAACATCGATGTGAGAGAGACATATCGACTGGCTGCCACCCACACGACCCCAACTGGGGTCGGGGACAAACTGCAACCGAGGTACGTGCCCTTAGCAGGAACCGAACCCAGGACTCTCTGGTCCACAGGCCGGCGCTCTAACGGCTGAGCGAAACCGGCCAGAGCGAGGCAGTTTTTGAGGGGCAGGCAACAGAAGGAGGGCAACTGAGCCCCAGCTCATCACGCCCTCCAGGCTCACTACCACCGTTCTCTTCCTTCTTTCATCCAGTCCATCAGCAAACATGTGCCGAGCACCTACTGTGTGACACACAAACAAAATGGGACTTGACCGTTCTTTTGCTATTGACGGCCCACAAGAGTGTGTCACCTTGGTTTGCTGTCCTCAGCCCTTTTTGTATCTTTTTTTAAAATAAGTTTTTATTGCCCTGGCCAGTTTGGCTCAGCGGTTAGAGCGTTGGCCTGCGGTCTTGAGAGACCTGGGTTCGGTTCCCGCTAAGGGCACGTACCTCGGTTGCAGTTTGTCCCCGGCCCTGGTTGGGTCGTGTGGGTGGCAACCACTCGACGTGTCCCTTTCACGTCGATGTTTCTCTCTCTCTCTCCCTCCCACACTCTATCTGAACAAAAAATAGAAAAAATGTCCTCGGGTGAGGATAAAAAAAAAAAAAATTTTTTTATTGATTTTAGAGAGAGAGTGGAAGGGAGAGGGAGAGGGAGAGAGAGATAGAAACATCAGCTGCCTCCTGCAGGCCATCGGGCCCGCAACCTGGGCATGTGCCCTGACCGGGAATTGAACCAGTGATCTCTTGGTGTATGGGCCCGGTGCTCAACCACTGAGCCACACCAGCTGGGCCCCTTTTGTATCTTCACTTGAGCTGCCCTTGGCTTTCCCTGAACCCGATTCCCCCACCTGAATGTGTGGAAGGAGGGATGGCTGGGGGAAGGAGCTGCAAACCCAGAGGTGTGTGTCCATGGGCCGCACTCCAGATCCCACCCAGGTGCATGAGATTCGTGGGCTCTGATCCTCAGTGTGTGGCTTCGGGCAAATACACCCTCCCATGAGTCTCTATTCCCTCCTCTGTGAAAAGGGAACCAGAACTGTGCTGACCTGCTCTGTGCTGCCCACGTGACGCGATGGGTGTGAGGCGCTCAGCAGGGCTCTGTGGTTGGTGTGGGCACACAGCAGGCGCTTGGTAAGTGGGGGTAACCAGGCACCTGCCTGCAGCAGCCCTGCTGGTCCAGTCCCTGCTTGGGGAGGGGATGGTACCAAGGTGAGAGCAAGACTCCAAGCCGAGTTGACACTGCCCTTCGTGTCTCTCTCCTCAGCCTGGACATCCCCAGCTGTGAGCTGCTAAGCTCTGCTTTGACCCCTCTTCCCGGCCAGGGCCTGAGTCTGTCCATCTCCGACTCCTTTATCCGTGTCCAGGGCAAGTGGAAGGTGCGCAAGTCATTCGTGTAAGTTGGCTCGGCTCCCAGGCTCTCGAGACCCCAGTCTTGGCCTTGCCCCATTCTTCTTGGGTCCAAGGGGTTCCTAGCTCATCAGAAGGGCCACATGGTGGATGGAGGGAGGCCAAGGCCAGAGATGCCCCCCTGCTCCTCCAGGTTGCAAGTCCTGGCTCTTGGACCAATCTCTTCCCATCTTCTGCCTCTTTGATGGGTTTGTCCACAGGCTACTTGAGATAACATCGTGTTTTCTTGGTTTGCTTCCCCCAGCGGCAGACTCCAAGGCAAGAGTTCAAGTGCAAATGCTTTACCTGGGAAGTGATCTCAGAAGGCATCCATCAGGGTTTGGGGGAGTGAGGCAGGAAGGGAGGGAAGATAGGTACTCGAGAACCTCTGGAGATAGTGTGGCTGGAGCACACTTCTGAGTTACCCCAACGCAGATAGGTGACCTTATCTTCCTATTTGCCATTGGTCAAGGGTGGCTCCCCGGCACTAACTCTCTAGCACTTGGAACCTCCAAGGTCCTTGAAGGGAAGGTGTGTTTGTCTTCATGGCTGCCGTATCGAAATATCCCAGGCTCATGGTTTAAATAACAGGAATTTCTTTTTCTCATACTTCTGGGGGCTAGGGGTCCAAGATTAAGGTGTCCGAGGGTCTAGTTTCTTCTGAGTCCTCTCTCGGCTTGCAGATGGCCGCCCTCTCTCTGTGCACATGTCCTGGGCGTCTCTGTGTCTCCTTCTCACAAGGACACCAGTCCGATCAGAGTAGAGCCCACCCTAGTGGCCTTATTTTAACTTAATTCCCTCTTTAAAGGCTCTGTCTCAACACAGTCACATTCTGAAGCACTGGGGTTCAGGCCTTCAACATACGGGCTGAGGGGGGCAGGGCATGATTGGGCCCATAACAAGAGGGCTGCCCATCCCTTCTGGGTGACCTGACCGTGTTTCCACTAACACCTGCACTGTCTGACATAGTAGCTTCTAGCCACATGTTTATTTATTTTATTATTTTATTTTTTGTTCATTCTCAGCCAAGGATATTTTTCCATTTTTAGACCGAGTGGAAGGGAGGGAGAGAGAGAGAAACATCGATGTGAGAGAGACACATTGATTGGTTGTCTCCCGAACGACCCCGACCGGGCCCCGGGGTCAAACCTGGGACCCAGGTACATGCCCTTGACCGGAATCAAACCTGAGACCTTCAGTCCGCAAGCCGACGCTCTAACCGCTGAGCCGAACCGGCCCAGGCCCAGCCACCTGTTTTCACTGAGGACTTGAGAAGAGGCGGGAGCAACCAAGCTCTGCTGCGTGAAACCCCAGATTTGGAGATTTCGCCCAAAAAAGAAGATAAGAAATCCCATTAATAATTTTATATTGATGACACGTTGAAATGATCATTAAAATGAATTACTTTCTTTTTTTTTTTTGGCCTTTTTTAACATGGTTACTAGGGAGTGTTAAGTGGCCACGTGGATCGCATTGTGTTTCTATCGGGAGCTTTGGAGAGACGCCCGATCTCGGTCACCTACACACGCACTCATTCAGTTCCCAAGGGAGAGATCAAGCCCACTCTCCTGCCCTGGCTTTTCCCACGGAAGGAGATGCAAGGTCTCTTCAGAGGAGTGTGTGAAGCTCAGCCTCATTTGTTAAACCTTTTTTCAGTATAATATTTTTATTGAGGTGCAATTCACAGAACATTAACTATTTTTTTTAAAATCCTCACCCGATGATATTTTTACATTTATCTTCAGACAAAGTGGGAGAGAGAGAGAGAGAAACATCGATGTGAGGGAGACACATCGATTGGTTGCCACCCACATGACCTCAACTGGGGCTGGGGACTGACCGCAACCGAGGTACATGCCCTTGGCCAGAATCGAACCTGGGACTCTCTGGTACACAGGCCGACGCTCTAACTGCTGAGCAAAACTGGCCAGGCCACATTAACTATTTCTAAGTATACAAGTCAGTCGCATCTGGTACATTCACAAAGTTGCGCAACCAGCACCTGTATCCAGTTCCAAAACATTGTTGCCACCTCAACAGGTAACCCCATACCCACTAAGCAGTCACTCCCCAATCCCCCTCCCCACCCCCAGGCAACCACCAGTCCACCTTCTGTTTATGGATTTGCCCATTCAGACCATTTCATATCAATGGAATCATACATGTGACATTTTGTGTCTGGCTTCTTTCACTTAGCATAATATTTTTGAGATTCGTCACAGTATAGCATGCATTAGGACCTTGTTCCTTTTTATGGATGAGTAATATTCCATTGTATAGATAGACCACCTTTGGCATTATTATTATCATTATATTTATTATTATTATTTTAATCCTCACCCAAGGATATGTTCATTGACTTCAGAGAGAGAGGAAGGAAGAGAGAGAGAAAAAACATCTATGTGAGAGAGAAACATCGACTGGTTGCCTCCTGTACCTGCAACCTAGGTATGTGCCCCGACCAGGAATTGAACCAGCGACCTTTTGGTTTACAGGATGACACTCCAACCAACTGAGCCACAGTGGCCAGGGATGGCCTTCTTCTTTTGTTTTGTTTTGTGTTGTTAATCCTCACGGCCTTATTCTTTTTAACGGCTGCGTAGCGTTGATGCCCACAACTTACTGAATGTGTCCTCACTAGTTGACCCATAGGTCACTCTTTTGGTTTTTGTTGCGACTCATGACATTCCACTGAGCTGCTCCTCACATACATCTTGGCCAGAAAAGCCACAGAGTAAAGGCTTAAAAGGCAAATTACTGGGCCAAAGGTGTGTGTGTGTGTGTGTGTGTGTGTGTGTGTGTGTGTAATTAGGAGAGCTCCCACAAATGTGTATTCCAGGGGTGATCACCCAGCCACAGAGCCTGGGCTTCTGTGTGCCCACACCTGCCCAGGCACTGCGGGGAAAACTTCAGAAGTTGTATCCATCGGATGGGTGGAGACTGGCATTGTGATGTTTATTTTTAATAATTTTTCACATGCTTCTTTGCAATCAGACTTCCTGTTCATATCTTTGATCTCTTTCTTTTTCTTTTTCGTTGTCTTTGTCCTTTCTTTATAAGCTTGTTCTTTGTGTATTAAGGAAATTAGCTCGTATGTTAAGGAAATTAGTTCATACAGTAGCTCATCTATTAGGGAAATTAGCTCTTTGGCTCACTCACGATGCACTGTTTTCTGTTTGTTTGTATTTTACTTTGCATTTCTTTTGTTCACTGGAGTTTTAATTTTCTGTGCTGCCATGTGTACCAACTATTTCCTTTTTGGCTTCTGAGAGCTACATCCTGCCTAGAAAGACCTTTGCCCACTCTGACCATAAACAAGTGAACCCAGGCTTTGTATAGATCTTTTATGGTCTTCTTTGTAATAAATCTTCGCTTTGTAATAAGTATTTGCAATACTTTTTTGTAGTTAAATGTGTGCACCAGCTCCTCTTAGTTTGGGGTGAGAATTAGACTTCCTGTTTCATATCCCGCCCCCAGATGGTGATTGACTCTAGCCTAGGGATCCACCATCGCTTCTCTTACCTCCTCCAGGAGACTACGGGGCTCCTTTGACCTGCAGGTCAAGGGCATCACCATTTCGGTCAACCTCGCCCTGGGCAGCTCGCCCTCGGGGAGGCCCACGGCCACAACCTCCAGCTGCAGCAGCCACATCCGTGACGTGGAGGTGGACATGTCGGGAAACTTGGGGTAGGTCACCCCTGAGACAGTGGCTGGGGTGCGGGAGCACATCGCGGGCACTGGGAGGTTATTCCCTGGGGACACTGCTGAGATGAACAGATACAGATTCAAGCCAGGAGGGTTGGTGAGCCATTTCCACCAAAAAACTCCAGGAACTACCATCAGGCAAGTGAAATCCGGCTGTTGGAGGAACACCAGGGCTTTTGGCCAAAGGAGAATTTATGAAAAATAGACAAGCCCTTGGGCAAGTCTCTTTGAGTCAAGTGTCCTTGATTAGGAAAATGTGGATTGTTGAGCCCCTCCCCCAAATCTACTGAACTTGCTTGGGTCCTAGCAGGGGGCTGGGACGCCAGATGCCTCGAAGCAGTGAGTGTGCTGGGAGCTGGGACTCTGAACACAGCAGGGTACCAGGACGGGGTAGAGAACCGGCCTGGCTGGAGCGCAGGACATGGCTTTCCCTGCTGCCCACCATCACTGTGCCTGTGGCACATGGCTGACCCTCCACTGTGCTCCATTCCCCAGGTGGCTGCTGAATCTCTTCCACAGCAAGATCGAGTCCAAATTCCGAAAAATATTGGAGAGCAAGGTAAGAATATCCAAGCCATGCAAAGGCTGGGCTCAAGTTATACTTGGGCCCAAGGCCCAGAGAGGACAAATCATCTGCCGAAGGTCACAGAGCTGGTGTGCAAGCTGGGAGCAGCACGTAGGTCTTTGGACTCGGAGTCTGTCTTGTAAAGCAGAGAATGGTTAGATGCTTGGCCACGGGTAGGAAGCAAGTGCCAAGCAGACGCCCACCCCGTCTCCGGTTTGGTCCTGCTCACCTGCCCCCACTACCCTGCATTCCACAAAGGCCAGAAGGAAAATCAGCACTTCAGTGCCCGCAGAGCCCAAGCGGGAAACTTCGAGTGTGTGAACCAGGTGGGAACCCCGGTGCCTCCCTGGGCAAGCTCAAGAGCACCTGCCTTGGATGGGAAGGCAGCGATATCATCAGTTTTTCCCATTAAAAAAAAATTATGTGAAATCTCCAAATTTTGACTCTGGCTAAAGCAAAGAGGTCTCTGCCAAACACTCACTTCACTCCAAACTCCCGTTTCAGAGGTATCACATGCTTGGAGCTGTGTCTGTAGCAGTGACTGTGCTTGGGGACAGAGAAAGTCATTAAGGGGAAAATACACACACTGACACCCCTGCACCTTGGCTCAAGGTCTGCTTTGGCTTTGAGTGCCCCCTGGTGGTCGAATCGAAATAGCAGGCACACCCCACAGATTGGGTGTGGCAAACTGCATTCTGTGCCTTTTCTTATTCTCGGGTCCTGGGGTCTAGGTGAGGTTGGGAAACAGGCCCGTCTCCTTCTCTAGCACCCCGTTGCCACGTTGTAATGTGTCAGGGGAAACAGAGAACGCTGATCAACCCAGCCAACCTGTTAAGGGATGACATTTGAGAAGTATCTACATTAAGCATTCACGTATTTGGATGGCTACGTCTACTCACTTTCTAGTTCTGCTATTCCACTTGAAATTCTGGGAGTCCAGGGTCTCTCAAAAGAACTGTGTTTAATGATGGAGTTTCAGGCCGTGCCTCCAGCCAATGTCCCCTCAGCAGGCTGTGTAGGTGACTACATAACTCAGATGTCCAGCCCTGGGATTGACTGGAAGGTCTAACTGGACCCTACTGGGGGCCATGTGGGGGCCTAAGTGTTTCTGATTATTTCCTTTTGTTCAGTACCTGGCACATAATAAGTACTTATACGTTTTTGTAGAATCAATGATCAATGAGCAAATATGTGAACCAATTTGACTAAAGCAATAAGCACTGTGCCAGGCCAAAGCCAGGGAACCCACTCAGGCTCTCTCTCACCCTCTTCAGATTTGTGAAATGGTCCAGAAATCGGTGACCTCTGACCTGCAGCCTTATCTCCAAACTCTGCCAGGTAGGGTGGCCCCCGCCGGACATTTTATTTCTATTAATCCTTTTAAAAGCATATATGTATCTTATAAAACCTTAAATGGGACAAAAGTATAGAGAGTAAGAATTCAAAGTCCCTTTTTCTCCCCAAATTTTCTTCCAAGAGGTAACCTCTGTGTTGAGTGTATCCTCTTAAATATATATATTTTTTGCATATACAAAATATACATATATATGAGCTTATAAATGTACATCATATATGTATTCTTTTGTTCATGAATATATGTGTATATGCATAATTATGAATATATTAATCTATACAGTGTAGACATTGTCCTTTTGTAACTTGTATATGTTGGAGATCAACACTTATAAACTGATCACATTTTTAAAAACTTTTTTGTGGAAGTTAATACTTAGAGAAAAGTGCTCACATCATCAGTGAACAGCTTGAAGGGTTTTCACAAGCTGAACACATGTAATACCAGCTCCCAGAACATGATTGCTCTTTCAAGCCCCCCTGTGTCTCCTTCTGTCACTACCCACCGCTCAGGGGACAATAATATCCCCACTTCTACCAGCAGAGGTGAGTTTTGCATTCTGCCCCTACATGGAACCTTGTAGTATTTAAAGTCTTTCGTCAAAAGCAAAGGCTTTCTTTGTTCCACTTTGAAAGGAGTGTGATCCACATTGTTGCACTGTCGAGTTCATTCATTCCCCTTGCTGTGTCGACGTCCTTCCATGTATTTATCCGTTCTACTGCTGAAGGTCATTTGGGTAGTTTCAGTTTCAGACCATTCTTCACAGAGCTGCTTTGAATATTCTAGTGCATACAAGGCCTGTCTTTAGGTGATACCTAGGGGTAAAATTGCAGGCTCACGTGGTATGCACAGTTTCAGCCTATCAGATCCTGCCAAACAGCTCTCCGACGGAGCTGTAACAGACCTCACTTTAAGAGCTGTGCAGTAGTCCCTCCTCTGGGTATGTCTTCATTTATTTAACGAGTCCCCAGACTTCGGACACGCAGGCTTGCTGCCGTCCTCTGCTATTGCCAATATGGGGAAGGAGGTAGCTCGCCCAGCCTCTTTGCCTGCACATGTGAGTGACACAGTAGAACAGTTCTCAAAAGTGGAGACCCTGGATCTAGAGTGCACATGTAAAGTGTGTGGGGACAGTCCTCTGAGAGCACAGCCCCAGGCCCTTACACCCACTTGTTGACATCGCCCTGCCATGGAGGCCCAGGGAGGCTCAGACAACCCATGGGGAGACATGGATGTCCTGTTCCTCCGGGGCTTCAGGGGGAAGTGCCTGAGCCCTCTGGACATGCCTGGCCTCCCTGGTTATTTGGTCTGTGTTGCTAGGAGGCCAGTTTCCCCTGAGATCAAGGCCTCCACTGTAAACTTGAGGAGCAATACCCTTGGTTAGAGAATTCTCCCCCTTGTGTGGCTTCCTTGGCATGGAGCTCCAGATGTGAGCAAGTCCTGGGCTCCTCCTGCCCGCGGGATGCATGTGTGTATTTCCCTGGGACCCACTCAAGCTCAGGCTGAGATACCCCTCCATCCCCATGGCTAGCCCCCCAGTGGGACAAGAGAATCCAGCTGGTGTCTTTCCTGCAAAGCAGCTCTTCGCCCAGGACTGGGCTGGGTGGAGGGTCTTGAGGCAGAGGGGCAGGGGGCTCTGAAGAAAGTCACAGGAGTGTAAGTCAGAGCCCTCACCCCTTCTCCATGTCTGGCTCCTAATTCTGCCTTCTCTTGATTCACAGTCACAACAGAGATTGACAGTTTCATTGGCATTGATTACAGCTTAATGGAGGCGCCTCGGGAAACAGCCCAAATGCTGGATGTGATGTTGAAGGTGAGGGTCCTAGAGCAGGGGCTTGGTGGGTCCTGCCTCAGTGTGGTGTTCGTCCCTCAGGATCAGCTCTTTCTTGGAGCCTCTGGTCCCCCGGCTTCAGATCTATCCTCATCTCTCCGTGGTTCCAGCTGTGTTGAGAACAGGGCAATAGGGAGTGGTGGGGAGTGTTCCCAGAGCTAGGATCCTCTCACAAGTGTCTGGAAACTCTTAGGCCTTGTAACTTCCCCTCCCTCTTCTTTCTCTCCTTCACCTTGCCCACCATGCAGATGAGGTTGACGAGAGGGTCTTGCCAGAAGGTCTTGTGGGTTAATACATCAAAGCTGGCAAGTTTTATTTTTTTTTATTAAGGTATTCTGGACATGCAACACTTTGACCCAAAGGGAAACGTCTTTAATGGTGGAGTTCCAGGCAGTGTTTCTAGCCATGCCCCCTCATCAAACTGTATAGGTGACTACCTAGCTCAGATGTCCAGCCATGGGATAAACTTTGAAATTCAAATGGACCTTATTTTCTCTCTCCAGGCTGAAATTTTTAACCTTGATCATCGCTCCCCAGTTTCCTTCCTGGCTCCTGTCATGAGCCTTCCTGAGGAATACAACCAAATGGTCTACTTTGCCATTTCTGATTACGTCTTCAACACAGCCAGCCTAGTATATCATGAGGCAGGGTACCTGAACTTCTCTGTCACAGATGATATGGTGAGGATGGTGACAAAATAATGCTTACAAATGACAGTGTAACCTGGCTTCCTTTCCTCTTTTCCTTTCTACCCCATTTATATCAGTGACATAATAAATTATGACTAAGAAAAAAGATCAAGACCAGGAAAAGTATGTTAACACAATTTCCTTTTTCACTCTGGCTGCCAGGAAGCTCAAAAATCAAAGTTCTTTCTCTCTTATAACAAATGTGGTTTTTTTTCTTTCTTGTCTAAATCTGTTATTCTAATTCATATTTTCTCTCATTCTGATGGTTTGTGGAGGTTTTTTTAAAAAAAAAAATTTAGAGAATAAAATGCATAAAGTTATATAGAACAGTATATAAAGACCAAGTTAAAAGTAAAGCACAATAGCCCTGGCCGGTTTGGCTCAGCGGTTGGAGCGTCAGCCTGTAGACCAGAGAGTCCCGGGTTTGGTTCCCGCTAGGGGCACATACTAAATAAAATAAATAAATACATACATACATAAATAAATACATAAATAAATAAAAGTAAAGCACAATTATGAAGGCACTGGACCCATAAATTGATTTTTTAAAAATCACAAATCTGTCTGGGAGCTTCCTCGTAGCCAAAGTAAAAAGGGTACATGATTTAGTGGTTCATGGTAAAAAGAAGACACAAAGTCTACCTAGAACTTACCTCTAAAACAACTCTCTCAAATGTGGCTTTGCATAAGGAATACTAAACTTTATAGTGGATCATGTTTTTAATATTTTTAACTCTTTAATATTTCTGGGTTTCAGAAGGTTATTTCCTGTAGCTCTTGTAGCCCATGAACAATGTCAGCACAGTGGGGGAAACACAGGGTGGTCCCATTTGGATGACCCCGCTTCCCTGGTAATGAATCAGGGACTGTCTGGTGGAAGGTTGGAGGGACCTTTTCCCCTTTGAATGAGTCCTCACACGTGCGCAGGCTTTTCCCTCCTATTATCACATCCCGTTCACCCACCTGTGGTGCAGTCCTTTCTTCTGTGGATGCGATCGTATAACTGTGTTTTATCGAGCTCACTATGCGCCAGGCTTCGTGCCAGAGGCGGTGTACCTACCATCTCACTGAGCCCTCGCAATGGCCCGACAGGTGGAGGCTGTTATGAACCCATTTATAGGCGAGGGAGCTGAAACTCAGAGAGGTGAAGGGAGTGGCCTGAGACCACACAGTGACAAAGCCAGGAGCGACCTGGGTCTGTGTGACCACAAATTTCACTTTCAGGAACCCTCCCAGTGGGTCCTGCATGTCACCTGTGTCCCAAGGAGAGCAGAGTCCCCGCAGACTCATGTAGTCCTGTGGAATGCAGGCCAGGCATCTTGTCCCTGCCATGGCAACCCCGGGCATTCAAGAAGTGCCAGTCCTAAACACCCCCCACCTCTCCCTCTCTGTTTAGACTTTCAGCTCCAGAAGGAGCACCCTAAAACTTCTTTGTGTCTCTACTGTAGGTTCCACAAAGCTCTACCATCCGACTGACCACCAAGTCCTTCCGTGCCTTCATCCCTCGGGTAAGGCTCCCCTCGGCCCTTGGTGCAGGCTAGCTTTCAAGTGTTTCTCTGTAAAACCTCCATGCTCCTCTCGGCAAGAGTCAGGGACAGCAACGAGCCCCGGGAAGGCCAGGGTGCTGTGGGTTCTGGGACTTCCTTCCCTTAAAGCCCCAAGAGCACAGGCCTGAGCCCCGGGTCACTGGGGACCACAAGTTGCCTAGTCTTTTATCAGTGCTATCTGAGAATCCCAAGAAACGCCAACCTGTTCCAAAGCATGTCCCCTCATTAATGACATCAATTGAAGAGGGCGTACTAGGGACCAGACACTGTTCCTGGTGCTGTAAACAATTATTTGTTGACTGGATAGTAAATTCTCATGGTTCAACATTCAAATGACATGAAAAGCTATAGAATGGAAATTCTCATGTCTACTCCTGTCTCCTCACCACCCAATCTCCACCCTGAGTCCACCAATATTACTAGAGTCTATACCCCTTCTGGGAACGCTCTTTGTATATTCAAGTTTGTGTGTCTTTCCCCTATATTTTTGCATAACTCGGGGTATGTTATACACACCATTTTGTATCTTATTTTTTCCCTTCCTGTACAAGGAGATCATTCCGTACAGGCCAATAAAGACCTCGCTCACTCTGGTTTGTGGGGTACCAGTCGGCCACTGCAGGGACTGGCCAGAGCTCATTTATCCAGGGAAGGACCTGAAGGCTGCTTCCAGTCTTTGGCTACATCAGTGTTGCAGAGAACAACTTTGTAGCTCTCTTTGCTGGGCTAAAATCTTCTTGGGCAGCATCTCATTTACTCCCAGAAATCCACTTGCCCTCCCCCCCACCTCCTGGGTCCCCCCAAAACACAGATCAGACAGGCTATCGTGTTTAACATGCCTGGCAGAAAGCCTGATGATGGCCGAGAGGAATTTTAGCGCTGCAGTGCCCGGGCTACGTCCTTCCGTCAGGCGCCCCCTACAGGCTCTTTCTGTTCACAGAGCCCCACAATAGCCCAACCTGCCACAGCACTGCCTCTTCTAGCGTTGGCCACATCCTGGTTCCAGCAGGGCTTTTGCCCCAGAAAGAGGAGCAGACTCTCCTTCCCGTTCCTGCTCGCGTCATATTCAACCAGGCAGGGAAACAGCTCAGCCCACCTCCGTAGTAAACAGAGAATAACCTGGTAGCTCTCTTTGCTGGGCTAAAATCTTCTTGGGCAGCATCTCATTTACTCCCAGAAATCAGGTGTACCTCCTCAGTTTCCAAACATCTCCCTTTTGCGATGGGATGTGGATTTGATATTTGCATGACTGAAAGGCCCATGGGGCTGTTCTTTCACCAGCGCCCCCCCCCAAGAAGGAACAGTCCTGCCCCTCCGCACCCCAGTTAAATCCTGTACCTACCTCTAGTTAAACAGAAAATTATGAGCACCTTTGAAACGGAGGGATCCAGTTGTGTCATATTCCAAAAAACGTTAGAGTCTGATCTCTGTTACGTAGTTACCTGATTGTGATGAGGGTGTGAGAAACAATAGCTCTTACCCCTGCCCGGGGAAAGAGTGGAGAGTGAAAAACTGCGTCTGACCCTTCTGGAGGAGAATTGGGCAACTCCTGTCAGAATGCTCTAAAAATATCTGCCCTGGCCAGTTTGGCCCAGCAGTTAGAGCATCGACCCGCAGACCAAATAAAGCTTTAGAGCCCGGCCGGTGTGGCTCAGTGGTTGAGCGTTGACCCATGCACCAAGTGCGTGCCCAGTTCGATTCCTGGTCAGGGCACATGCCCAGGTTGTGGGCCCGATCCCCAGTAGGGGGCATGCAGGAGGCAACCAATCAATGTTCTCTCTCATCGATCTTTCTATCTCTCCCTCCCTCTCCCTTCCTCTCTCTAAAATCAACTCAAAAACAATTAAAAAAAAAAAAAGCTTTAGAAATACCCCTGCCTTTTGACTCAGGAATTCCACTTGCATGAATGTATCCCCCCAAATACTAGCCAAGGTATACAGGGAGTGGTCATTATACTGGCAAAACCTTAGAGACAACTTCATGCCCAACAGTACTCATGCACAGTGGACTGCAGTGGGGCCGAGACATAGATGATGTAAACTCTATATGCCTGGCATGGGAAGACGGCCTGTTACGCCGCTAAGAGAAAAAAGCGCAGCGCAGTTTATGGAAATGAAATCAACCAAAAAGCATTGTCAGATGTATCTGACTTTCTCCAGACTCTCCTGGCCAACCTGAATGTTTCCCTCTCTTGACATAATCTCCTCATTCTGTCCCCAGTTAGCCAGACTCTACCCCAACATGAACTTGGAGCTCCAGGGAAGAGTGGTCTCTGCCCCTGTCCTGAACTTCAGCCCTGGGAATATCTCCTTGGCCCCCCAGATGGAGATTGAGGGCTTTGTGCTCCTGCCAAACTCTGCCAAGGAGTCTGTCTTCCAGCTTGCAGTGGTAAGGTTTGTTTCTGCAAATGCTCTTCCTTTTTCCTGTGTGCTTTCCCCCCACTGACCACCTGTCAAATTCCTTCAGATTTCAACCTGAATATGACTTCCTCAAAGAGGCCTTTCTTTATTGCTCTCATCCCATTCTACCTTAGGCCCCTTGTCATTTTTCTCTTGTAGCACTCTATCATTTTTCTTCGTTACATTTGTTATAAATATATAAATATATAAATATATATATATATATATATATATATATATATATATATATATCTTTGCAAATGTATTTATCTCCCACTAAATGAGTTTAGGCTTCTGTGGGGAGGAAGGTATAGGCGTCTTTGACCTGATTGCTCTGCTCTGTAGATATCTGACCCTCCAAAGACTACATTTCCCAGGATCCCTGGCAGGCTGACATACAGCTGGCAGGCACTATCAGGAGAATGGAGGGCAGAAAGAAGGAAGAAGCAGAGTATTTTTTTTTTCCCCTCTCTTTGTCTTGGTCAAAGACTGGGGGCATGACTGTGTCTCCTCCATGGTAGCCCCATAACCCCAATCACCTCTGTTCTTTTGGTCTTGGGGTGGAAACAGCTTCCTGCCTCAGCTAATCTCTGAGTTGCCTCTTCAACTCTTTTTTTGTTTGTTTTTGGATTCTCAGCAATTCCATCACTTATATAACCAATTCCCTGTATTAAATTCTCTCTGAGTTAAATGCTGAGCGTTGCTCCTCTCCCAATGAACCCTATCTTATTGAGGAGGTATTCGGAGCCTTTTGGGGCCCTTGCTCACTGGATGGAGAACTTTGCTTTCATTTTAGGTTTGAAACTCAACAAGACAAATTTCTGGAAGGGTAATTGCACCTAAATGCTATATCTACAATTTGATATTGTTATTATTGTTATGAAAATTGTTATCAATATATTTTAAATTAAAACATAACCTATTATTATATTATCATTATTATTATATTACTAGGGCTGAATTTTAGCTCTGAGATAGCTAGAAATGATCCCTTTAGAGATCTCCAAAGACAGGTACACCACACTTTCTCCCGGTAGTCTGTTCAAGGTTTAATTGCTATCATAGTCAACAATTTCAAGCAAAAATGTTCAAGTTTACGTTCAAACATTTATCCAGCCTCTACAGTGAACCTTCTGGGAGTCTATAGCCTAATAGATGGGCTCCTGCTTTAATTCACTGAGCTGTTTGTTTAGAGAAGACAGCTGGTCTTTATAGTTATCTTTCCTGTACATGACCACATCCCTCATTCAGAACTATTTCCTTCTACTGGAATTTCCAGACCACTAACTTGTCCGCCATGGTGACCTTCAACACCAGCAGGATCACTGGGTTCCTGAAGCCAGAAAAGTAAGTCAGCCTCCCACCCACATGGGGGCGCTCCACTGGGCTCTCTCCATCTGGCACTGTAGCTGATTCTCTGGAGCTGGGGATGGGGAATGTGACCAGATCCTCCTGTCAATGTTAGGGACCCAACATTTGAAAGAAAAACTTTCATTTTACCCCAGTTGGTCAATTTTTTTGCCCCACTGGCCCTGCTTCCACATACTTCCTTTCCACCTAACCCTCATTACTTCCGGCCTTCTACAGAATGTACTAATACTGCTGTTTCTTAACCTATGAATGTTAGGCAGCAGCTATACTGACTTCCTGAAGTGAGAGATAAAGATTGAGCGTGTTTACACTACCCACCTCCCCTCTTCAAGTCTTCCCAATAAGGTGATATCATTGTTTTCAGTTATTCAGTCATCTTTTTCACTCCCAACCCTACCCCACCCTTGGCCTTGTGCCTTCTCAAGCCAGTGCATCCTCGTTTCTGGGGACCGTCACATTGCTTAGGTCTCCCGTGGACATAATACCCACATCTCTGAATCGTCTCTGATTCTTTTTAGGATACACGTGGAAGTGAAAGAGTCTAAAGTTGGAGTATTCAATGTAAGTTATTATTATTGAATGACTGGGGTATTAATTAATTCAGAGTGTTTACTAAGCAATGCTATGGTGCCTAAGAGTAGAAAGTAGAACAGGAGAAGAGTTGCTCTCTGCCCTAGAAAAGCGTAGAAGCTCTCAAGGACATAAAACATGGGGCCAAGCAAAAGTTACATCCCAATATAAGACAAATTAAATCTTCTGTTGGGCCTAATTATTTTAACTGCAAGAAATAGAAAGCCAACTAAAAATGTCTTCAGTATACAAGAGGAATGTATAGAATCATATAATTAAAGGACAACAAAGAAAACTAAGGCTAGACATTTCGGGCATAGCTGGATCCAGGTGTTCAAATTAATGCATCAAGATTCTCTCTCCATTCCTCTGTCTGTTTTCATCATTGTTGGCTTTATTCTCAGGCAGATTATTCCCATTGGTGAACCCCCCCCCCATATTTCCTGTAGTTTCATTTTTCAAAACCTACAAAGAAAAATTTTTTTAAATCCCTGTGCTAACTCTCATTGGATCATTCTTAACCGTGTGCCCATTCTTTAGCCAATCACTGTGACCAGAAATTCAAAAAGGTCAATCAGCCAAGGATGGGTTTTCTGAAGCCAGAATCTGCAGTCCCCCAAAATATGGACTGAAACTGGAAAGGAGGGTTCCCCAGGGGAAAGTAGGGGGAACTCAGTTACTAAAACAAGAGAAATGGATGGTTGGACACAACAAAACCAAGAGGCGATTCCACAGAGGAAAAAGTGGTGAAATAGACGGCCCCCTGTTAAAGGAGGAAAGAGAATGGGAAGCTGGGCTTGGGCTGAAGCAGTCACGGGGAGATTTCTGAAAAGGGGGAAGATGGGTGATGGCAGCTGCTCCTCGCAGGCCAAGGAGGGGACGGGACGACTTTAACCTTTCATTGTTTTCCTCTTTACTGTCCCAGGGATACTGACCTCCTCCAACCACCCTCACCCTGCTCTCTCTTCTCAACTTTCCCCTAAGTACTTATGAAGAGGAAATAAACACCTAAAGTGTGGGGAGAGGCACTGCCCACAGGGACCCGAAAGGATGACTCCTTTGAGAGAATAAAGTAAAGAATGATGCACTAATATTGTATTGGTGCATGGCATGTAAAAATGTTCTTTAAAGTAAAACATATGGTCCTGGCCAGTTTGGCTCAGCAGTTAGAGCGTTGGCCCACGGACCAGAGAGTCCCGGGTTCGGTTCCCGCTAAGGGCATGTACTTCGGTTGCAGTTTGTCCCCGGCCCCAGTTGGGGTTGTGCAGGTGGCAGCCACTCGATGTGTCTCTCTCACATTGAGGTTTCTCTCTCTCTCTTCTTCCCTCTCTCCCTCCCACTCTATCTGAAGATAAATGCAAATAATAATAATAATAATAATAAGTCCTCGGGTGAGGATATAAATAAATAAATAAATAAATAAATAAATAAATAAATAAAGTAGAACATATGTAAAGATCCACAAAAAAGTTATTCATCAGGTTTTTGGAACATGGGATTAAAAAAAAAAATAAGCAAGAATGATAGAATCAGCTAAATCTGGATTCAAATTCTGACCCTGCTGCCCAGTTTCTAACAGGTCACGTTCATTCTGTCGGCCTCAGTTTTCTTTTCTGTGAAATGGGGACACTAGTGTCAACTTAAAGGGGTTATTGTGAGGACTGAAGTAGATATACGTAATGATCTGAGCCCTATACCTGGCTCATAGTGTTAAAAGTTGTGTTTCTCAAATTTTGTTTATTGCACAAGCAATTCAGGAAAACACTCTCACTGTAAGAAAAATTAAATACTGAAGATAAGGCTCAGCCAGACCTTGAAGTTTTTCTTACAGGAAAGGTGGTTGGGTGTGCAGTCTTCCAACAGTTTTCTATCTCTTTGCACACATATAAGTGTACATCTTGATGTAGGCATCTATCTGAAATTTGCTTTTTTCAGGCCTTTTTGTCATGTCAGCACATACAGCACCACCTCATCTCAAGGCTGGCTGTGTGGAGGCTTATTGGTAGGCAATGTGGCACATGTGGTCACAGTGTTCTCTGCCAGGTGGAGAACGCTGTGGCCACCAGGTGAAGAGACCACATGTGCCATTCTACTGTTCCCCACCAGGTGGAGCTGTTAGAGGCGCTGCTCAACTACTACCTTCTAGACACCCTCTACCAGGAGGTCAATGGTAAGAATCACCATGGATTTTTCCTAGTCAAGAGTGGACACTACTTTTGGGAGGAAAGAGGGCTGGACTTGGAATTGGGGAACAGGGCTCTACTGCAGTCTATGAGACCTTGGGTGGGTCACTTTTCTATGAGTGTCAGTGGCCTGCCTGTTTTTGCAAGGGGAGTGTTGAAGTCAACCTCATTTCCCTCCGGGGCTTAATACAGGTTGAGGGACTGGGGCAGCTCTTTGGACACTCACAGAAGTGCCCCCTAAACCATGAAGTGGCAAGTGGAAGACTAAAGACTAAGTTAACGCAGAGAGCGCAAGGTAGTCCACCTCTGAATCCACATTTCTGAGTCAGTTGCCAACTCCCTAGTCAAAAAAGAAAGCATCAAGACCTAAACCCCATCCCCTGACCGGTTTGGCTCAGCGGTTAAAGCCACAACCTGTGGACTGAAGGGTCGCAGGTTCATTCTGGTCAAGGGCATATACCTGAGTTGCAGGTTTGATCCCCGGCCCTAGTCAGAGTCGTGCAGGAGGCCACCAATGGACATGTCTCCCACCCTCCCCCACACTCTATCTAAAAAACAAAACCACAATGGAAAAATATTCTTGGGTAAAGATTAAGATTTATATATATATATATATATGACTAAACCCTGTTTCCATGAGGCTCTATCTCATTTGGCTGCAATAGAAAGCAAAGTGAGGGTGGAGGACAGAGAGCAGATGCCCACAGCTTCTTACCATGGCGTGTCCCGCCCAACCTACCACTCCTTCCACAGCCTCATGGCTGCGAGCTCAGGCTCCAACGGCAGCCTTCCTGGGCTTTCACCCCAGTTCTGCCCCTTCCTAGCTCAGTGACCTAGGATCAGTTACTTGGCCGCTCGGTGCCTCAGTTTCCTTATCTGAAAAACGAAAAGAATAATCTCATCTCCCTCAGAGTCTTTGGTGATTATTAAATGAGAATATTCTGTGTATAAAGTTTGCACAGAGGTATTATTTTTTAATCTTTGTTTATAATTGTTATTAACAAATCTCTCTCAATGTTGTGCCTCAACCTCCAGACAAATTGGCAACAGGTTTCCCCCTTCCTCTGCTACAACGTATTTGGCTCTACGACCCTGTTCTCCAGATCCACAAGGTCAGTGAGTTCAGGGGGCTCGGAAGATTTGGGGAGGGGATTGTTTAGCTCTCCAGGTTCAGAGGCTAAAGCTCGGTGGGTGAGGTCCAGCCAAGCCCTGCAGCTGGGAAAGCCTGGACTGGGTGGGATGCTGGATGCCACAGGACGTCCACCTGTCCTTCAGAAATGGTGCTTCTGTTGGAGCGGGAGGCGGTTGACAAGGTCTGTGCTACACTGTTCTGCCCTTCACTGGGAGTGGCCTGGGGTAACCTCAAGACCAGCTCATTTTAAAATACTGCAATCTTACATATGCGGACAGGCCAAGTTCTAAAAGCCATTTGTAACTTTTTAAAACATCTTCTAAATTCCCAAGTGGAAGAGCTTTATTATAAATATATGTTTGGTGTGCTCCCCCTCCCAGACCCATTGCCCTCCACATACACCCACAGTTTGAATTTTGGTGTACTTCCTTGAGTATTTTTTATGTCTCTAAGCATTTTAAAAAAATATTTGTGTGGTTTGAATAGTTACATTGCTGGTGCTCATACCTGTTCTCTTTGTTTTTGTTGCAATTTAGTCTTCCCCTGCCCACGCCCCGACCCCAATGTTAAGTACTGTCTCACCCACCAGATGAACTATAATTTACTTAACTATTTTAACATCAAGGAATATATCTAATTCTTCACTATTCTATCCACTATTCTGATCGAGCATTTTATGGTCCATCTATGCCCCACAGTTCAGGTTATCTTTCTAGAATAGCATCTGCAGATGGGCTGTCTGGGATGGTGGGCTTGTGAGCATCAAAGGAGATGCTGCATTGTGCCTGGTACATCATCAACATCCAGCAAACAACAGCTACTGAAGAGAATGAAGGGTCGGAGGGTGGTCAGGAGCACTGAAACACTGGCCAACTGGTATACTTGAAAATCAAATGTCCAAAAGTCTTTTGGGTACAAAGATACTCAACACTCAACTGCTGTTGAGAGTTTACAAAGAGTCAGAGTGTTGTTCAAAGCAAAGACTGAGCAACAATTCATGCAGCTGGCCTCAGTTTTTTCTTCTGTACAATGGGGTATAGCTCAAACCCCACCGGGCTCTTGAAACAATGAGAGGTCAAGTACAAAAGCTTCTAGCTCAGTTTGGCACGTGGGAAGTTATTGGAAGATGTATTATAGGCTATCATAGTCATTCATATTTTGAGGTCAATTCTGTCCATTCATTTGATGCCCAAAGGCAGGGGATGTATTGCTATGGAAAAGACTAGGACTTTGCTTTAACTTTAGAATCCCTGCCCCTTTGGTGATGGAGACCCCTAAGGAGGTAGGAACATAAACTCCAGAAGCTCACAATTTTGTAATATTTGCCAAAGAGAGAACATTTAGGTGACACAAAGGACATTTATGAGGCCTGCCAGGAAGCAGCAGCTTGGGAAACGGCAGATAAATCACCACCTTAGGGAAAGTAGCTGGCAAAAGCTGTGCTTTATGGAGACCATGGGGGCAGAGGCACACTCGCGATTTACGCCCTGGCCTGGTTGCTGGCAGAGTTTCCACAGACGTGGGCCTCCTTTTAAATCAGAAATGCACTTTTTGGAGTCGGGGATGCTTTAACCATCCTGCTCTGTCTTGTCTCTCCTAGGACTTCCTGTTCTTGGGTGCCAACATCCAGTACAAGAGAGACTGAGGGCCAGGAGACAAACGAGGCTCGGGGGACAGCAAGGTGCATCTCCAGATCTGCAGGATATCCCCAGAGATTCTGGGAGGAGGAAGACTTGTCTGTTCTCAGCGCTGGGGGCGAGGTCTGTCTGGCCTCTGCCCCCACACTCCTCCTCTTCCGGACGTGCGCCCACGTTCTGGACTCTGGACTTTACTTTCTCCACCAGGAGGAACCACGGTCCTCACTGGCCTGTGCAGTCTTTAAGGGCAGGCACTTTTTTATTCACCATCTGATCCCCATGCACAGTGCAGGCGCATAGTAGGTCCTCAATAAATATTTATTCAATGGATCAATGAAGGAATCACCTGGTCCTCCAGCTGGACCTCCCTCCTGCCCACCCTCTTTTGCCCATGGGATCTGTGGTCTCCAGTGTTTGACCCTGACCACACTCCCCTGTCCCATTGCCCCTGCTGTGGGGACCTCAATGAGAGAAGGGATTCTGCTTCCCGCTCAGCCCTGGACCTGCCATTGGTGCCTGCTCTCTAAGGGGCTTGTTTATGGGCAGTTCGTGGGCTCATTTTAATATATGCTCCCCACCCCCTCACTTCTTGCCTGCTGCAGACACAGAGCCGATGGGTCTCCCAGAAAAAACTCAGCCTCCTACTGCTTTCCCCATTAAAATGGGTATAAATTAGGAGAAAATGGATCCGTCTAGGTTTTTGGTCAGACCCAAATAAAAAGCTCACCCAACCGTTGTGTATGAGCCCCCAGCCTGGAGGGAGAGGCCATGGTTTCTAATTATTGCACAACCAGACTTTGATCAGACTTACTAAAGAGTGTTTTCCAAGTTATGTGATTGGTTACCCCGGGACTGGGAATCAGAAGACTCCTTCGATATTCTTTCTGTTGTGTTAATGAGCAGATGGATGGAGCTGCCGGCTAGCAGATAATTCACAGAGAATGGACTCATTTACCCTGTGTGTGTGTGACAGATGCATCCAAGACAGACTGCACAGCACCCAGCTGCCAGCAGGGTGAGCCAGGGCCTCCCGCCTTCCCCTCGTTCCTTTGGCTCTCTGGTCCGCCACCATCCACCCCTGTGGTGGACTCGAGAAAGGCTCAGACTTCTTCCAGGACTGGCCATATTGCTTTGAGCAGGTACCATCCCCCTTGGGGTCCTTGTCTATGAAGTAAGAGTGATAGTAATAGTAGCTACTTCCTAGGGCTGTTATAACGATGATGTTAGATAACCTATATAAAAAGGATGCATTCAGCCATAGTGGGGATTCCATATGTACTGGCCGAACATGCTTACCAAGCACCTGCCATTTGTGGGCACTGGGTTGCTCAGCACGGGATACGCAGAGGCGGTCAGACCCAGTTCCAGTCCCTGCTCGTAAGAGCATTGTCTCAGATACGGTGGACAGAGCCAGTACTGATTCCAATGTGTTTTCTTTGAGACAAGGAGGGAGATGATTCCAGGAAGTACCAGTGGAGAGAAAATGAGACAGGGAAGTGGGGGGAGCCTAGGAAGGGTACGTGATCAAGCAGTTGCCACCACAGGTGACGAGCTTACTCTTGCTGGGAAAGTCTGGGAGTCAGTGAAGAACAGTCCTCAGAGCATCCACTCACGAGCCAAGAGAACTGGGTTACGTATTCACCATCCGCCATCAGTCACTGTTTGAGGGGAGCGCCTGGGGGACGTTAGTTCTCTGGTTCTAGTCTGGGCAGAGCATGTCCAGTGTGCCTCTGCCTCTGGCTGATTTTAACTGATATCCTTTCCCTTTAACAACCTGTTACCATGAGCAGCACAGCTTTCCGTGAGACCCTGTGAGTCCTTCTAGAGACTTATAGAACTTACAGGTGGACGTGGGGACACCGGCAGCTGGTGTCAGGAGTGAGGGCGGTCTGTGGACTGTGTCCCATCTCACTTCACAGGGGGTCTCCAGTTCTCCAGCTCCTCCTGTCAGCAGACATTCCACTGGCCTCAGACCAGCAGATGACACTTGATATCTGTCCTCTGTGGCCTGGCTGAGCCTGGAGGGCCCCCATTTCCTGCCCTCCCCCCCCGCTGAGTCATCCTCAGCTCCACTCTTGGTGCTACCAACCCTGTATCGGTCAGGCCCCCTAACGGCACACTTCAGAATCCACTCTGGTTAGCAGAGGCAGAAGGAGGGTCTCAGTCTCCGGGTCGTTAAGACCAGCAGTGGTTACAATCACCCTCGCGCACAGTAAGCCCTCACTGAACGTCTTCAACAGGTTCTGCGACTTTAAGTGAAATGACATACCATGAAACCAGTGTTACCATCGGTGTAAACAAGACTTAAGTTCCTACAGCATCTCATCTATATTATAACGAAACGACGCTGAATGAAAGAACATTATTCAAGAACCTGCTGTATATGTCTCTGGTCTCGACCCCTCTTCTGAGATTCTGACCTGTCCCCTAACTATAGGCTTGACGTCCTCCTGGGGCAGCCTGGATTTGGGGGCTGCACCTGCCTCGTGTAACAAAAGAATCTATAAAAGCCTCCCGAGGATTTTCCCAGGAGTCGGTGCATAAATCCCGCGCCCCCCCAGCACATCTGCCTGGGCCTGCTTCTCCCAGCCCGCAGAGGAGCGCTGGTAGTAAAACACAGCCACACAGACGGCTGCTTTATGGGCCAGAAGAAACGATTTCCCACCTGGGACCACTAAAGCATCCAGAGCTGAATTCTCTGCTTTCCTCAGAGAAGGCTCTCCTCTCGCGGCAAGTGATCTCAGGAGGCCCTCAGGGCGGCCTATCAGCAGAAACCCCAGCGCAGGTAGGCCGTTTTTAAAGGGATGCTCTCACCTCTACCATTTCATCTTGGGTGCAAGGGTAGGTCCAGAGCCACCACCCGGGCCCCCAGACCCAATCGAGCCAGCTTGCTTTCAGCCCCACCCCACCCCCACCCCCAGCAAGCTTTCTGGGTCTGCAGTCCCATCCAGAGTGCTTCTCTAGGAGCTGTTCCTGCACAGAGTCATGTTAAAAGTCAATTTTAGAGATTTCTCGGGTCAAGATGGTGCATAGGTAAACACGGTATCGCCTCCTCCCACAACCACATCAAAATTACAACAAAACTACAACACAGACATCATTCAGAACCGCCTGACATGGAGCTGAATGGAAGTCCTACAACTACGAAATTAAAGAAGCCGCCACATGGAGACTGGTAGGAGGGGCGGAGGCAGATGGGCTGGTCCCACACCCATGTGTGATGGATAAAATCAGGAGGATATCTCGGCTGGGAAGGGCCTCCCTGAGGAGTGAGGTGTCCCCATCCCACACCAGGTGCCCCGCTCAGGGTTCCAGTGCCAGGAAGAGAATCCCTATCACTTCTGACTGGAAAAACCAGTGGGAACTGAGGCTCAGGGAGGCTGAAGCGGCTGGAGCCCCAGGCAGCTCCTCTTAAAGGGCCCGCAGACGGACTTACTTGAACTTGCTCCCTCTAAGCTCAGAGGAGAGGCAGCTTGAGGGGTGCCAGAGACATACAGGGAAGAACTGAGCTGTTTGGCCTCGGGATGAGGGCTGGAGAGGTGGCTTTCTCCTGGACAGACATGCTGGCGGAGGCTGATGTTCCTTCGGAGAGCCCTTCCCTGGGGCAGCAGACCACAACCATATCTGGGACTCCAGCAACCTGGCTCATACTGGTTGCCCCGCCCTGGTGATTCCCTGAGGCCCCGCCCCACCCAAATTTCAGGCCCACCAAGCTGTTTCCAAAGGCTTTCTCATAGGATTGGCCAGTCTTGGATCCTGCGTCAGAATTTCCTAAAATCTCTCAAACAAGCAGCATCTGGTCTCAGCGAGCCCCATACCTCTCATTAAGTGGCCCCAGGCCTGACACTAGAAGCAGCCAGACTTGGTTCACAATTTGGCTTTTCCTGGGCATCTCCAAGCCCAGCACAAGAAGCAGCCATTGGCAGATCACTTTGTAGCTTATGCTGGGTAGCCCTGGATAGAACACAGGCAGTGGCTGACTTTGACCCAGAGCCAACACACCCAGTGGACAGCTTCAGACCACATTGAAACACCACCACCCAACCACCTCCACAAGTAACACACTCAATGAGTGGACTCAGTGGGTATCAGAGCCCTGCTGAAGTAAGTCTTGCTCTGTGTGGTGGGCCCCTGCACAGCTGATCCTCCAAGGTAGTCAGAGGCCAGTAGTCAGTGGGCACAGCCAGTCCCTACAGCTGATCAAACTGAGTAAATCCCTCCCATTGACATGCCAACAGCAATCAAGACTCAATTACAACAGAAGGGTGTACAGTCCACACTAGGGGTGCACCTAGAGGGCCCAGCTGGGGTGACTAGGGAGGCTGTGCCACTGGATCTTACAGGACACCTACAACAATAGGCCACCTATAAAGTCTAGGAGACATAGTAACTCTATCTAATACATAGACACAAGAACAGGGAGGCAGCCAAAATGAGGAGACAAAGAAACATGTCTCAAATGAAAGAACAGAACAAAACTTCAGGAAAAGAACTAAACAAAATGGAGATAAGCAATCAATCAGATGCAGAGTTCAAAACACTTGTTATAAGGTTGCTCAAGGAACTTAGTGAGACATTCAAGAAACTTAGCAAGACCTCCAAGAAACTTAGTGAGAATACCAACAACATAAAAAAGGACTTGTCAGAAATGAAGGATGCACTAAGTGAAATAAAGAATAATTTACAGGGAATCAATATTAGAGTAGGTAAAGCCAAGAAGCAAACCATCGATTTGGAATACAAGGAAGCAAAAAGTACCCAAACAGAACAGCAAAAAGAAAAAAAATCCAAAAAAATGAGGATAGTGTAAGGAGCCTCTGGGACAACTTCAAGTGTGCCAACATTTGCATCATAGGGATGCCAGAAGGAGAAGAGAGAAAACAAGAAATTTAAAACCTATTTGAAACAATAATGACAGAAAACTTCCCTAACTTGGTGAAGTAAACAGACATACAAGTCCAGGAGGTACAGAGAGTCCCAAACAAGATGAACCCTAAGAGGCCCACACCAAGACACATCATCATCAAAATGCTAAAGGTTAAAGAAAAAGAGAGAATCTTAAAAGCAGCATGAGAAAAGCACCTCATCACCAACTAAAGAGCTCCCATAAGACTGTCAGCTAATTTCTCAAAAGAAACTTTGCAGGCCAGAAAGGAGTGGCAATAGATATTCAAGGTGATGAAAAGCAACGACCTACAACCAAGATTACTCTATCCTGCAAAGCTGTCATTTAGAATCGATGGACATATCAAGAGTTTCCCAGACTAGAAAAAGCTAAAGGAGTTCATCACCACCAAATTAGTATTATATAAAATGCTGAAGGGTCTTCTTGAAGGAGAAGAAGAACAAAAATATGAACATTAAAATGGCAATTAATACATATCTATCAACAATTGAATCTACAAACAAAATGAGCAAGCAGAACAGAAACAGACTCCTAGATAAAGAGAACTTTTTGTTGCTTGCCAGATGGGTGGGGGCTGGGGGAATGGGTGAACAAGATGAAGGAATTAAGAAGTACAAATTGGTTGTTAGACTGATAAACCTCAAAGGGAAGGGGGGAGGAAAGGCGGGATGAGATAAACCAAAGAACTTCTACGCATATATGCATAACCAATGGACACTGACAATAGTGTGGGGAAGGCAGGAGGGGGTGGGATTGGGGAGGAGGGGGTCAGCGGGGAAAAAAGGGTGGAACATCTGTAATACATTCAACAATAAAGATGAGATTTTTTTAAAAAAAGTCAAATGTACAAGAGGGCTTATACTAAGAAGCCACGGTGTCAAAGGGAATGACTTTTCTTTCTATTTCTTATTCTTTTGATGGATATTTCTAAATATCAAGTTATGTTCCTATTTCCCCTTTTTAATTTACCAACTTTAAACAAAATTACTAACTTTGTAAGGATTAAATGTATTAACCGGCCCCATTTAGCTTCCCTCTCTCAAAATAGTTATACAACAGTATTTTTGGTTTCTCTACTGGTAAATTTACAATTTTATGTACTATAGTCACGCATTGTTTTTTTTGCTCCATCAACTATATATAGATGGTGTCTCTTGACTTCTCTTTACTCACTGTGTGATCTTGGACCTCTCTGAGCCAAGTGTCCTCACCTGAAAAAGAAACTAGGTAGCTAGCCACAAAGCCATTTCCCTTTCTTTCTAGGCATACAACTATGTTCCCAGCCTACCTTGCCGTTGGGTGTGGCCGTGTGGCTGAGTTTGGGAAATGGAATGTAGGCAGAAGTGATATATGCCATTCTGAGCAGACTCCCCATAAACACCACCTGTTCGGTTCCCATTCATTCTCCTCTCCTCTCTCTATGAATGTTGACACCCAAGATGACTTGAGATAAATGTGTTGAAGTTGGCAGAGCCCTCAGGAGCCTGGCTCCCTGAATGACTGCATGGAACAGAGCTCCCTCCACACCCAACCATCTTTTGGACTTTACAAAAGCAGAACTAAACCTCTGTCATATTTAGCCACTGAGATTTGGGGATGTACCTGTTACAGAAGCTAGTTTTGGTTTTAATTGGTGCAGAAGGTAACAAAAGCAACCCATGAGACTATTGAAAGGCTTATATGCGGTAAGTACAAAGCATGTAAATTTATGCCTCTGTAGTAAGTGTACAATAAATGGGAGCTATTATTATTGCTAACACACTCCTTGGGCATCAGGCTTCTTGATGATGGATAGGAGGAACTGGGAGAAATAAAGGGTTCTGGACTAGAATGTTCAGGGTTCGGAGCTAGAATGTTCCTATGTACAAGACACTTTCTGATATAACCATTGTTACGTGTGTGTAGGTTATTCAGTGCTACTGTGTATATAGTGGGCAAATTTAAGTCCTTCTTGGAAACATCTGGACTTTCTAGATGTTTCAAAGTACACAAAGTGTGTTAAAAGTAGAGGTAGTAAAATCACACATCTTGTGGACATCCTTTTGATAAAACTCATATGTAATACTGTGTTTTGGAAATGGGACGATCAAAATGATCAGACCACCCCTCTGATCAGTACACATTTTTATATTTGTGCTGGTTCAGGGAGGAAGAAATAGAAAGTGCAAAGGGCTTTATGCCAGTATGTTTATAGTTAGGCAGCAGTAACCATCTTCCCATGTGCCTGTGCATTTTGTCTTACTTAGCTGTGTATATAGTGTATATGAAGGAAACCGTCCTAATTAACAACATCTAGTCTTTGTAGATGTTACAGAGGTTGCCAGTGTATAACAGAGGAGTAGTTAATAAACAAATACATTGCATACAGTTTGTGTTAAATTCCTAGGAAAGGCTGTTCTGAAAATAGCACGAAGTGAAATTGTTAAATTTGTCTACCGGATTTATCTAGAAGAGAAGGAGAAGTGTTCTAGGCTGGAATGTTCCTCCCTATTTAGAAGACACCCTTTAAGTCATTTTTTCCTGTTAATTCATAGGAA